CTGTGCCAGGTCGCTGTCTGTGCCTGGGGGATCTTACCCTGGCTCAATGACCTCTTGAACCTCGAAGTGGTCCCTGAAGAGCTGCGGATCAAGGTGGGATGCTGACCAGCGGGTTCTGTAAGCCTTTGCACGCCTCGGAAGGTCATCTTCACGCTTCTGCTTTCCCTCGTGGGGACCTTTGTGTGGGATCGTCTCATGGCCCCGCGCCAAGTTCAAAGCCGCTGGGTGCCTGTGCAGCCCGTGTAGATGCCCAGAGGCCTACAGGCTGAGATCGCCGTGGGGGAGATGAGGGGTTGGTGCAGATAGCTAGAAGATTCATATGATTCTGCGCTGTGCATTTGGAACCTGTACCGTGCAAGGGGCTCAAGCCTAATCCGAGCCGATGCGACCACATCCGAAAGGACATGGTCAAGGCAGAAAATGCGCAACTCCAGTCATCGCCAGAGGTGCACAGACAGGTATCCTTCGGGCTGGTAGGGGACAGCCCCGCCCTGCCGCCAACTCTAGACCAGAGCCGGAGTGGACTGGAAGGTGATGTGGCACGTGGTGATGTGCCGGGCAGCCTCTCCCAACTCGCTTCCTTTCCGAAAGATTGGTCCAGGAGCCGAGTATGCATAGCCACGGTCTTGTCCAGTGCCTTGTTCGATATGGTCATCGGGGTCGTGGTGTTGGTCAACATCGGCCTTATTGTGCACCAGACAAACCAATCGGGCCTGGGCATGGAGCCAGACGCTGCCATAGAAGCTGCCAATGTGGTCTTCCTTATTCTCTATACTCTGGAGGGTTTTCTTCGACTCTACGCTTTCCGACTTGACTTCTGGAGATCCTATTGGAACTTGCTAGACACATTCATCCTGTCAGCCGACTGGACGCTGCAGATCATCAACTGGACAGCAGCTGACATTCAGACCTCGGATGTTTTCAAGGCTTTGCGGGTCATTCGAGCCCTTCGGGTTCTGCGAAGTATCCGTACGCTTCACTTATTCCGCGAGCTCTACATCATGCTTTATGGCTTTCTCAATGCCTTGAAGGCCATTGGCTGGGCTGCTGTTCTGCTGTCGCTCTTCTTGTATTCCTGCGTGCTCGTGAGTTTAACTTCCAACATCAGTTTGTTGCAGTTTGTTTCTCCCGAAACTTGAATGCCCCAATCTTGGCCCAGCACGCACTCGCGATTGAGGCTTTTAATGCTGCTGATTCTGGGCATTATGGCGGTAGAGATGGTGCATCCCTTGGCGCAGATATTACACGAACGTGGAGTGTATGGCGACTGTGAGCGGTGCCATCGTGCTTTCCAGACGGTCTGGATGTCGGCACTTACGTTTTGGCAGCAAATTGTTGCTGGAGATTCATGGGGAAGAATAACCATTCCAATCATGGAAGAATATCCTTACACAGCTCCCTATTTCGCCATGGTCTTCATAACTATTGATCTGGGGCTTCTCAACCTCATCCTTTCCGTCATCGTGGACAAAGCACACCAAGCACAGCAGGAAGACGTCAAGTTCCAACTGACGCAGCGGCAGGCTGCTTTCGAGGGTGCTAAGCGAAGTCTTCTGTATTTATGTGAGCTGCTGGATGAGGACAAGAGCGGCTCCCTCTCTTTCGAGGAGCTGCTGGGGGGCTACGACAGCTTGCCGGAGTTCCAAGAGCAGATGCGTCTGATGGATGTGGAGCGGGAGGATATGCAGTCTTTGTTTCGGGTCCTGGATGAGGACGGCTCCGGAGACATTCAGTACAGCGAGTTTGTCGAGCAGGTGGTCAAGATGAGGCCACAGGATTGAGAAAAGCACGGAAGAGTCGGGCAGCGGGTGAAAATCTGCTGAGCTTTGCGGGTTTTCGGCGACTCTTGGGTTCAGGGCTTTTCGCTACCTTAGTACCTTAGGCACCTAAGAGTCGGGGACGGATGTGGCCAGCTCAGGTCCCAGGACACCACTCTAAGCTTGCTGTTCCTCAGAAGCCAGATGAAGGACATGAAACATGCCGTGGCAACGCTGGAGGAGAAGGTGGATAAAGTTCGGTATGATCTGAAAAAGGCCTCGGTGGGCGGAGCCTCCAAGATGACTGACAGCCAGTCGAGCGTCATGTCGTTCGCAAAATCTGCTGCTACCCAAACCGAACAAGTTGACACCACGGGCAAGGCGGAGGCGGCCGTCTACCTGCCTTTCTCAGGAGACAGCGCTGCATTGCACGCGCACATCAGGAGCTTGCGAGAGACGGCGTCCTACTTGGAGAGAATGGCTCAGGGACAGAATGCCAATGCTGGACATCTGGAAACTGCCGTCTCTGTCGAGGCTGCGATGCCGATCGTCCGTGGCCCTTCACAGAATACGGATGGCACTCAGCCGTTCTCCCTCGCACAGCGTTGCTGCTCGCCGCCTCCACGGCACAGACCTGAAAAACTCGTGGAACCAAGGGCAAAGCACAGCCGGGTGTGAGTGGATGCGCTAGCCGCTAGCTTCACATGAGTTCACGATGATCAGGAGCAAAAGCGAGCTTACCAGCCGCACCGCGAGACGCATTTTCCATTTGGCTGTGCACGCAGTGCACTTGCCACCGCACGAAGCCAAATAAGATCCGTTTAGGCATGGCCCCAGAGCATGACACGTTGATTTGGAGTCTTCCAAGGTACTGGTACCGTAGAACACCGCCCCCAGCTTCAGCTTTGAGTTGAGCGGTCTGTAGCCGAACCATCGACAGGGGCACCATGCCTGAGTGCAGATCATGCAGTTGCGCTGTGATTTCTCCGGGCACAGGATATAGCTAACAAGCTGGGTTTATTGTGCACTGAGCTATGTCCGTGGCAGCTACTACGCTAGAGTTCGCTAGAGACTGCAAGTATGACGATCCTCGTACCGTTTCAGAAGTTTCGCGCGCATTAAGGGATTCCAGTACTTGCGCCAGCTCGGTGCAGATGATGGCCTCTGTCTGGGTTCATCCGCTAGGACTGCTTGGAGCCTCGGAGGTTGCCCGCCTTTGCCAGCCACTCTTGCCAAGTTGCATGAGCGGGCTGTGGCAGAATAATAATCTTGCATAGGTTGCACGGAAAGTGCAGACAGGGAAACTCCACCCTTTGGGAGTTGGCACTATGTCGCTAGCCGCCAGCCTTAGCCATATGTTGTTCAGAACAGTTTGCTGGAGTGGCGGACACTTTGACAGGGTGGCATGCCATACGTAGTTGCTTTAAACAAAGCACATGTTCCAGATTCCTCTCTGCTGCAGAGTGCAGCACGAAGAGGACCGAAGAATAGTTGAAAGCCTGCCATGCGACCTCCTAATGCCATTAAGACCATGAGTTTGCGTTACACCGCTTGCCTTTGGTACCTTCGTCATGGCTCTACAGAAACGCGCCCATAGATGGAATTCGCAGCTGTGTCGCGAGCGACCGGGGTGACACCTCCAACCTCGCGCAAGAGCGCATGTGGTAGTGGTCATTTCTTTGCACACCGGGTGCCCTGAAGGGGCTCTCCATCGTACCGAGCCAATCCGAGCAAATCAGGTGCCCAAGCGTGGCCATGACGTTTCGATCTCGAGCCCTGGAAATTTCTGACCTGAGGTCGCTGTCTTTGCTCCTCACATCATGGCGGCGCAGCTGGAAGAAGCAAAGGTGCCTTTCCGACCACTTCCTAGGGCCTTAGGGCATGTGCCGGTTCCATGTCTCAGTCTAATGTAGCACAGCTGAAGAAGAAAGGAATTGGAGAACGAAGGGTGTTTCCACCTTGGTGCATACCTGGAGGCGGTCGCCTGGAAGGACTTCATCCCACTGCTTCAGACTGCTCCGTGCTGAGCTGACATTCTGGATGTCTGTTGTTGCTTTGTGATGTTGACAACAGCACCAGTTCTTGTACTCCGCCGATGATGGCGACGCTGTCGAACACGATCTAGAGTACGATACCGGCGACGACCGCTGCGACGACTGTTGCCATAGCATGTAGAAATTCAGTACGTACTACATTACTTCCCTATGGTACTACAGCAGTCAGTAGTCGTCGTCCACAGGTGGGATACATCGCAGGTGGCGGCTTGTTGCTGGCACGGTGCTTACACGCAGGGACAGCGCACTGGATATTTGGGAGCTGGTGCTGAGTGTCAGGTCTCCGGGAATCCGATCATCTGGGGCGCTGCTTTCATGATGTATAGGCATCGAAGAACTTTGCACTTTTGAGAGATTCCAAGTGCCGACGCTTCTTTCTTCTAGCTTTTGGGCAGGAACTGGAAGAGCACGAAGGCCGCAGCTGGAGCGCCGGGAGCGCCGGCAGTGGCGAAGTGAGCCGGGATATCTACGGGGTTAGTTCAGCATGCAATTGGCTGAATTGGGGCGCGCAGCCTGACGAATGCAGCTTAGCAGGATCGGAGTTCAAGGTCTTGTTTGGTTTCCAAGAGAGTCTCCTGCGACGGTTGGGGCGAACTGCACCCTCTTGCCTGTCCAAGAGCTTTCATGGCTTGCATTAGATTCGCAGCCAGCTGGATGACCTCGTGAGCTTGAAGGCTTCTGCAGGACCACTGCATAGCAGTCTCGATCGAAATGAGACGAGACATTGCTCTTGCACAGGGGCTTTAGAGTGTACACCACCGACGGTGGCACTCGTCGGAGTCGGGCCTCCGCCTTCGGGATCCACGGCCTTTGATAATCAAGCTTACAGTTTGACATCTTTGACATAACAACCTATAAACACATATATACAGTTATACACGTCTGCATGTATCTCGTAGATTTACATGTGTAACACAATAACAATAACATCTCCCTGCCATGTGGCATGGATCCCGAATCACAGCGGCTCCCGCTTTCTCAGAGAGACAAGGGAGCCACACAGCTCTTAACCCAGACTGCCCTGTGCGCACCAAAAGGTTTCGAAAGCATGCCTGGTGAGTGAAAGTAGGCATGGAAAGCCTGTGGCCGCAGCATTCAGATTTGGAGTATTGCCACTGAGTACATGTTCTGGGCATGATGCTTCAACGATGCCGAAAGCCGAAAGAGTGAGCTCTTGCGGCTGTTGGAGGTCCCCTTCCGGCCGAGGCCTCCCGCTTCCCAGCGTGAAGGCCTTAAGCGTCAAAGTTTGCGGATCCGTACATGGTGCCCTGTGGGCTCCCTGTGGTGCGGTCGGAGCCTAGGTGGCTTTGCGGCCTCGTTTCCAGGCCCTTCTGAAGCACAGCCTTGAGAGATCTTCGCAATCTGAGAGCTCGCGCGTCTCACGCTGTATACCGCTTGCGACCCAAATCTGGACAGGTCCTTGTCATGGCGAACGCCCTTGTACGCCGGCTGCAAGGGTGATGATGGGCAAGCTGGACGTTAGTTTTTGGGCTTTGTCAGCACAGGGTCTGCGCCGTCTGCGCATCGAGGCACGCCAGCGGACACGGCTCCGCATTTGGAAGTCGACTATGGCACCTTGGACCGGGAGACCAACGCGCAGGAGTTTGTCACGTTCCCAGTTGAGTCAGCCAAGTGTACTGAGAAGTTTGGCCGGTCCGGTGGAGCCAGTGAAGCGTAGAGATGTTCGGCTGCAATGTTAGAGAATCAAGTACTTCAGGGCTGTCACAGAGGTCTTCAAGCTTTTGCACTGCGTGGGTCGCTGTCTCTATATGCGAGCAGCACGAAGTGTGTAAATGTTCATCCTTGGAGTGGCACATGTTGCACTGCAGGAAATAGCAATCAAAGCAAGCCTTGTGCTGCCTCTTTCTCGCCGCCCCGCCATGGTGGTGTCGGGCTGGGCCGATGTCGCAGATGGAACTTTGGCAGGTCACCGGAGGCGCCGAAGAACCCAATGCATAAGTCGTACGTCCCGAGCACGCAGCCAACTCGGCAAGCTCGAATGGTCGGAGTCGGTCCGAGGCCATGGAAAAGGTGGTCTCCTGGTTCGGGAAGGCCGCGCCCTGGATTCTTGCGAGGCAGGCCTGTTATCAGATCACAAGGTCCTCAGCTTTGGGACTGGTCCTTCTGGAGTGTGATTTCCTGACCGTTATCCAGGTGCAGCAACGCCTGGCGACCGGCGCCCTGATCCAGGATCTAATGCCGGGATATGTATGAGTGTGTGCATACAAGGAGCTGCTCATGCGGCTCAGAGATGTCGGGATTGCCGCCGTGCGATGCAGAGGGATTTTGTGCCTTGGGTTGGTCAGGTGGCATGCTTGCTTGTCACTGTTGAGACTGGATGGAAACGGAGCTAAGAAGCCAAGTCAGATGAAGCAGTTCAGCATTGCTTCTTTGCGAAGGGGGGGGGCCTTTCTGAGGATCCTGCCCTGGAAAATCAACTGCAAAAAACTCGCACCAAAAAAGGGCACGTTTCAACAAGGAGTCGAGGCAAGTCCAACCCACTCTCGTGGGCTATCGTGGGCCAACGGCCTCGGCGTATCCAGGAGCAGAAGCTGCAAGCGGGGCGCTTGCACTACAGACTGCTGGCCGGCTTCGGGCCGGAGGAGGGCTGGGCGAGGACCTCTGACAGATTTTTTTGTCGCGGTTGCATCCTTCGAGCGAGCACTTCGAAGATCTTCGAAGCCTTCAGGTCAGCATCTCGCTGAAGAACCGTGCCCTAGCACAGCGCGTCTGCTTGCCCAGCAGGGAGACACTGGAGGATGCATGCTCCTCGTGCTGTGTTCGGACACACTTGCTAGCCAGACTTCGGGCGCAAAGGTCATAGTGCCAGACGTCCTCAGGTTTCCAGCATGACATCAAGCCCATGAAAGCCGCCACTGGATTGCAGTAAGCGCATCTTGCCCCGTAGCCGGAATGTCGGAGGATTGCACCCCAGGTCCTTTCAAAGTTTAGCAGAGCGGTCCGGTTTTCGGCGCGGTTAGTATTTCGCTGCGGCACCGGGGGGCGAAGAGTATAGAGCTTGGCATCGAAGTTCTTCCCTGGTCTGGTTGGATTGCAAAGGGTGTCCTACTCCCTGCTCTCAGGCTACCGAGCTGGAACTATTCCGGCTTCTTGCAGACTTGGACGTTCCGCTGGTCTGCCCATCTTTCCCTGATGCCTCAACGGCAGCGTGTGAGGATCTCGTATCGGCGACCAAGGGCCCGGACTTCCGAGAACACAGCGGCAGCGATACCGATGCAGGTCAGTGGCTGGCCGACTTACAGGAATTTGACGCATACAGAACAGATCCGTATCAGCTGTTCGGCATCCCGTACGATGCAACCGATGCCACCATCAAGTCGACCTTCCGCAAGCTCTCACTCAGGGTGCATCCTGATCGCTGTCCAGGAGAGGCCCCGCTGTGCCGTGATAACACTCTACTACGTTTAGCGGATTGCAGTTCCTGCAGCCCCGAAGGAGATGTGGCCGCGGCAAGCAGGCGGGATTGGGGATTGCCGGCAGCTCAACGACTTCACCGGGTGTAACATTACGGCACACCGAGCAAAGGAGCTCAGGGTCTACTTCTCTAGTCAAGCGTCTTTTCCGATCTGCATCTCTTTCTGTCTCTCTAGGCTTTCAAAGAACAGGAACTATAATTTACAACACGGTTAAGCAGGCATTCGTGGATATTTGTGCCAGGGACTGCCAGTGAGCGTGTAGGATTCTGCAGGGGAGCACTCAAGGATTTGTGACCGTGCACGCATGTTCTCGCAACCGGTTGATGCAACACGAGACGCTACTGGAACCAACGTCATATCCGTTTGCTTATTCATGTGCTACGCACGCGTTGTGGTCGACACCTACCATGTGATCCTCACCATACGCCTCACAACGACCGAACGGTGTCGGGCTGAGCTCGGCCCTGTGCAGGTTCCTGCAGCTGACACAAGCGAAAGACTTTTTGCTCGATCCGTACCAACGTCGAGCTTTCAACGAAGCGCACGGCTTCTTGACCCCGACCGTCAATGTTGCCTGGTGGCCCTGATCTCAGGTCAGGTGTTGCCAGCTGTAGCACGTGCTGCATAGAGCAGCCTGAAGCAAGCCGAAGAGACTGGCCAAGGTCAGATTGGGACGAGATTTTCGGAGAAATCGAGCCTGACCCGGATGTGGAGGCACCGCCCTCCGTCCCGGCTGGACTACCAGACCCAAGAGTTGACATCCTGATCTTGGGAGCAACAGGTGCCCAGTCGAGCTCGAAGATGTCCATGCAGATGCATATTATATTCATTGAGATATCATCAGATTTTCTTCATTGCACGTGAGGTATTACGGGCACTCTGGCCTGCATGGCACCGAAGCAGAAATGGTGGAGTACGCCTACGGAGAAGTTGAATTGACCAGTGTTAGTTCAAAAAAGACCGAGTACTCATTGCACAAGACGAGGTGATGCGGCGAGAGACGAGAGGTCGCTCTTGGGCCATCGCCGGGCGCAGTGGACGCCGCTTGCAGCCTCGTGGCTCAAATGTCGCAGGATGTGCCGGTGTCTTGTCGCGGGTGCAGTTACTGCGTCCAGAAAGGATGCTGGAGCACAAGTTTGGGCAGGGCTGCTTCCAGTGCTCCCTTCGTGTCGAGAGCCGCCACGACGCTTTGTTGCAGCACGCACCAGTGGCGAGGAATAGCCCTGTTGAGAGCAGCTGAAGGACTTGGAGCGTGTGGTGGGGACGGCGCGTGTGGTCTTGGACTGCACTGGACCGTCCCACGACGTCGGGGTGGCTGTGGCCGAGGTGGGGTTGCATCATCTTACTTCGTCTTACTTCCTTGCTGTCGGTTTAAGCATCCTCGTCGGGCCCGGCGCAGTATGTTCGATATTAAGCTTTGGTGACGCAGGCCTGCGTGAAGACTGGCACGCACCTGATAGACTTCCAGCCGCATTCCAGTCGGATTCTGCTTGCAGAAGGTGCCTTTGCTCCGTGTCGTAAGGATAACACGGGCGACATACTCTTCTCGAAAGAGGTCAAAGTTGGCGGCTCAGGCAGAGCATGCTTCTCAAGCGACCGCCCTTGTAAATGGTGTTAGCTTAAGAGCTTCATCGGGCGTCTTGCCGGGAAGAGCATGTTCAGGACAAATTGCATGGCGCGGCCAAGGCCCCTTAGTGCAGGATCTCCGGTGTGTTGAAAGGTAGCCAGCAACTGTCGAGAGGCAGCTGGAGTGTGTCTCCTTCTTCATGCTGGCTACGTCTCTGTCCCTACAGACTTCGGAGAATCGTGGCTGCATGGAGATCACCTAACCTAATATGGCAACCCCCAGACTGAGTGCAGAAGCAATTCGAGGTCTGGCGGCTGGTGCGTGGAATCAAGGAAGAGACGGGCGCTGACACCAAGAAGGTGGATGTTTACACATATACCCAAGGCCGGAGAATCTCAGCTGCTCGAGATCATGAGTGGAGCCGAGTTGCCCAGGGTTTGTGATGAGTGGCACGAGTCTGCTCACTGGAACGAAGACTACCTTCAAGGACAGGACTTGCAACATAAGCCTTTTGCCATCTCTTGCTGTTGCTGTTGCCTGTCATCTCCGGAGCTCCCAGGATTTGCATGCAGCCGGAGCTCCCTTTGTGCTTGGGGGGATGCGGTCTTGTGGTGTGCGGACGGAAGATCGCGCGGATCCGCCTCACAAAGATGAGACCCTTGGTTTCATGCATGGATCGAAAGGCGGCCCTCGTCCAAGAGCTGAGATGGCTTAGGAACTCGTTCATGGTCGCATATCCTGGGTTGAACGTGGACCGCCAGGTGGCCCCTTGGCGGCAGGAGTCGGATCCCGCAGTTGGCAGGTCTTTGCAGGATCGATTTGCAGGGGTTGCGAAGGTCCGTGGGACTTGCGGCTTAATGGATGCAGTGGAGCCATATGGCGAGAACTTCCTCTTCAAGGACAGGAGCCATGTCGGGCAAAAATGGGGCCAACTTGTCTGCTTGCTTCAGGATTGGTTTCTGGTTGTGGACAAAAGGCCAGAGGAGTGTGGCCCTCGATCCCTCGGTCGCCGCTTGCTGCTCGGTGCCCGGAGCCGGTGCGCTCAGGATGACGAAGCAGGAAAGTGCTCAAGCCTCTCGACTCTCGGGGTGGCTTCGCTGCACTCCACTCCATGCTCTAGACTTCATGGGGAGCGTGCCTGGCATGTTTGGAGCTGCATGGCTTTAGGATCGGTGTCAGCTTGGGCGGCGGTCTTGGTCACAGCCTCATGGTGGAAGCGAAGAAGATTCCACCCCCTGGCTGGGGCCCAAAGGCCTCCTTCTGCAAACCTGTCACCAGAGAGCATCTTCACACGAGCACAGAAGCAGACACTAGTCTGCTCTGGGAGGAGAGAATTCGACAGGAGACTTTCGTCACCAAGGCCTTGTTCGAGTTCAGTATGCAAGTGCCGACCACTATCGAGCTTTGCTATGTGTTGCTCTTGGCAAGTCTAAGTTGTGCTGTTCAGGTTTTCGTGGGCGTCGCCGATGCGGCCAATGAGGCGAAGATGCACATCGTCATGAACGCAGGCCAGGGAACCTCTCTGAAGTCGTTGATGAGATGCCACCTTTTGCCCAGGCCCCGGTGGCGTCGGGGACCGGCTCCCCGGCTGCTTCTCTCAAACGGCGCTCACTAGACCCTGACTATTCAGGTACGAGGGCACCGCCGCCATGATGATCGAGGCTGCCTGCTGCCTTCTGGATACCGCTGACCAAGGACTTCCCTGCGAAGTGTCGACGAAGGGGTCTAACCGCACTCAAGTAAACCGTAAACCCTCTCAGGAGGCGACTTGCGCAGTGGATGGGGGACACCCGTGTACCATTTGGCACACCTCGGCTTCTATGAGCGGCTGGTCTCGCTCGGCTTTGCCTTCCACTGCTACCAGGGGGCCCCTACAAGCTCCTCAGCGCGAAGAGAGCAGAATGCGAGACTTGAGACTATGCCAATTTTGGTCTATGCCAATCTGATACCTAGGCGAGTTTATGCAGAGGGTCTTTGCATCGACGCTTCCACTGAAAGATGCAACAGGGTAGAGACAACGACCGGAAGGACGTTCACAAGAAGAAGTGTGCCGCAGTCCGCCGCAGAGCGGATTGGTCCGGTGAAGACATTGTGAGGTGGACCTGAAACATGGTGAAGGCTTGAGGCGCTAAGCCGCTCACAGAAGTCTGCCGACCCGAAGCTTCAAGAAGGCGACAGACTGCGAGGATCCCGGAGACGAAGCGGTGCTGCGGCAGCTGCTGCCCGGGTCGCGGATGCATTCTTCAAGCAGACCTCGAATCATCAATGATTCATGAATCACCACCACCCCAAGACATCACCACCACCAACCAGCACCGCCACCACCACCACCAGCATGAGTCAAGGTAGTGGAGCTTGAAATCGCCGCAGCTGTCGTGAGAAAATGTGGAACTCCGTATTTGGTGAAACGTTGTGAGCTAGGAGAAATCACATGCCGCACATGGTGACATGAGGTCCAGCACCTCCGACATGTCAGACGTGACGTCCTCGGAGTTCCTCGCAGCTTGACCACGCGTCTTCCATCAAGAGCGAGCGTTGTGAGGCGTGACTGCAAGTGCAGACAGGAAGAAACTCTTCAAAGAGCTGCAGCTACGCTTCTTGTCCACATATGGCAAAGAAAGATGAATGACATCGAAACCAAAGAGTTTTGGTGAGCAGTTTTTGCTTGCCGCAGAGGATGGCATCCAGACAAGAATGCGGTCTCCTGAGATTGATGACTGCGGCAAGAGGAGAGCCGCTGCACTCTGTCTTGTCAAACGTTCCTTCCAAGGTGGGCGACGAAGTTCACGCTTCGGAGATGTGGGGGGCCGAAATTCTGACTGACTGTGCCTTTCAGATCCTGTGTTGGGAAGGTGGCCGCTTAGAGGTTTCGTTGGGTGCCTGCTGACTGACATGGGTGCAGACTTGAACGCGCGTGTGGAGAGGTCATGGTGCAGCGAAGGCCGTTTTTGGGCTCTTCCGTCCTCCTATAAAAAGATAGCCTCACAACACGTCACACAAGCGAAATTGATCTTGAATCGTGCGATATCTTGCGAGCCGGAGCCCTGGAGCGCATCCTGGAGCCATGAGCACGCTCCTCAAAGCCGTGCCGTCTCTGTGCCGGTCTGACGCTGGAGCGAAGTGCCTGGTGGTGAGGCACGCAGTGATCTTGCGGTGTGTGCTCTACTGTGGTCTGCACCGGACAGGAATCGCCAGGCTGATGCGCGGCTTGCGCGTGCACTGGAGGAAATCGAGGTGCCAAGATCAGAAGATCCGTGCGGCTTGTGGTTGTAGTATGTTGACGCCTGTGACATTAATCAACAATCCCTCCCTTGTGCAAAGCAACCTTCCCTTGGGACAGAGGGAGTGCTACGGGCAACATTGGGTTTTGGGAGTTCGTTTGCAGGGGCTTCGGCAATGCGGATTCAAAGCTGAGCTTTGCGAGGTTTGCCAGCCGAAGTTGGGCGAAGCCGAAACTTACCCGCAAAGGATAGCTTTCCAGCTCTGAAAAGATGTCGGACCGACCTTCATTCGACTCGAGCTCGTTGTCAGTCTCTTTCGGCAAGCCCTCCGACAGCACGATCAATGTGGTCAAGAGTGCTACAGCTCAGGGGCCCCAGCCCCCTCAAGATCCAGTCTTGACCTCTTCAAGTCCGGCTGTCCGGCAGTGGTCGCCTATCCAATCCGCCATGTCTGCCCTTGTTTTTCCTTGCTGTGGAACGAGCTCCAAGGAAGCGAGAATGAACGAGCTCCTCCACGCCAACGCGCCAAAGGTGCGCTTTCGCCTGCCGCGATTGGAGCCTGCGCGATTTCAGGACGAGGGGCAAGTTGCGGGGCTTTTCTTTCTAGCTTCTCGTATCGCGCTCTGATCAGATCGAGCTTGTCCCCACTTGGGTCTCGCTTTCGCTTTCGCTTTCGCTATCCTCGAGTGTTGGGCCGGCTTGCCTGACGAAGGAAGTTCTGAACGAGGTGCGCAACCTCCGGGGCGAAGATCTGCCGGGACCCTGCGACTTGTGGAATGCTAATATCGTGGTGCTGCATGCTTGCGACTCTGAGATACCTGCAGATGCGGCAAGCACGGACGAGCAGCCTTCTTTCCATAAATGAGAGGCTGCACTCGGGGGCGCACGATGTGAAATAGCCAAACCAAGCAAGCCTGGGTGTACAGAGGCAAGCAACAGACGAGAGAAGTGGGAGCATGGTCGACCTTGAGGATGGAGTGGTCGCCGGCCCCATGCCGAGTTTTCCTGGCAAGTCGATTTGCTACCTTCCCCTGGCGCCAAGGAGACGCCACGCAGTCTCTCGAGGCCGCAAGTTGTGGAACACAGGCGCTGGCACCTACTGGTAACAATCACTTCAAATGCGGAGGGGCCTCCCTGGCAGGGCCTTGAGATGGACACCGATCCCTCCCGGAATGCCATGATTCGGCATACAGCAGCCGCTGCGGTGATGGCCTTCGTCATCACCGGCCTGTTGTCAATCAGTGCCCCGACTGCTATCAGGGAAGTGGAGGGTCAGCGGCGTTTACAATAATGACTCCTGGCGCCGGCATTGTGGAGGCCCCATCGACACAAATGTCGCCAGCCTGATGGCCGCAATCTTCAGCTTGCTCCATGCCCGCGATTTGCAGACAGGAGTGATCGCCATGCCGTTCAGAAGCTGCCGCAGCAGACACACGGCATAGGAAACGCACTCACATGACTGAGGCTTCTTCACTTCGTTGCTCTAGCCTATGCATGGACGCACCAATTCTCTTGGATCTTCCTTGCGCTGAACGGTGCTGTCGGCAGCTGCTTTGGCAGTAAGTGCTGTTAAGTCTCTAGTCTCGTGACGATTTCACCATTCGCGTCATGCAAGGCAGGCTCCTTTCATCACTGGACGATCCAGTTGACTGTTACGGCAGCAAGTTGGTCCAACCGATCGAAAAGCTAGAGTCGGCTGTGGACATGGTGGAGATGGAGCAAGCCATGATGGTCAAGCGCATGCAGGATGTGACCGATCAGATTTGCTGCTGTGCCGGCATCTGTTGCAAGCTGAGCCAGGAATACGAGAAAGAAGTGAAGGAAAGAGTGCCGGACTTTGATGTGCCATCTACCCGTGGCGTGCGCGAGCCAATCGTGGAGTGCAGCGTGCTCGGAGAAGGGGATGAGAGAGCGCCGGTCTGCGACATTAGCAACGCATGAGCCCAGGCGCCGGACGGATCAGCAACTTCTTGGAGGAAGCCAAGGCATGAATGTTTCCGTGTGCCAGGCCTTGCTAGAGCCTCTAGACCTTGCAGAAGTCTGACCACTGACCAGGCAGCTTTGCCCGACCAGGTGGAAGAGCAAATTCAGACACTTGCACATGCCAGTGCATAGACAGTGTCGATTGTTCTTCAACTGCCCACGGGCGAGATGTGTTCTCCGCACGCCTGGCAATCCTTTCCGAGGAAGCACCGTCTCGGCAGCCTCGTAACGCGAAGATCTGCCTTCGACTGCTGGCTGGTTCCTGGGCAGCATAATAACATCTTAAGACGTCCCGCGCCCAACCTCTGTGGCTTGTTGCAGAAGCACAGTGGGGACAGGCCCGGCCTCCTTGCCTTTCTTTTGAACTGGTCTGCAGGTGCAGGTGCCGCTGATCTTCTTTTTGGTAGTGAACCTCTCAGGCCTCATCTGCTCCGAGGCCGGTAGCTTACCGAGCGATAGCTCGGGCGTTCCGGCTTGTCTGTCCCCAGATCCTTGCGACGGACTTGGCCTCTGCCCTGGCATCGGCAGCGCCGGCACCTCCGGCCTCGCCCGACAAATCTCTTGAAGCTCGAAGCAGTCATGACGAAGCAAGCACTGCTGAAGCTCACCGGCAGCGGCCGAGGATTGGGACCTGGGCCCTATCGGGCGTCGTCTCCAAGGCGACCCGATGCTCAAGAACTTGGAGGCCAGGCCTTCGAAACACGTACGGAGCCGCTTTTTTCTCTCTTGGATTCTCAAGGAGCGATTCCCGGACGTGAGCTTTTCCATGCAGGAGACTTGCAGTGTTTGTCAGGAACACTGAGTCGCAAGTGCTGTTCTGGCGCGAGGATGATGAAGCGCAGACGCCCGAAGCAGCTTGTGCAGCACATTAATCGTCCTGACTTGGCAAGCCCATGTTCATCCAGCTTGATCGGGGTCTTAGACTAAGCATGCCCTTGCATGGCTCCACCAACTTCTTACCTCGATTTTGACTGCGGGTCTGTGTCATCCGATCATTTGTGTTTCTCTTGGCATCGAGGGAGATGCCCAACCCACCTTTGGGGAACGAAACTGCGATGTCGGATTTAGCTTCTGGAGTGGAGCCGCGCTGCCAAGGGGCAAGTAAAACAAGTGCATGGCAAGTTTTTCAGCCAAGGTCGCGGTGCTACCCTTGACAAGCAAAGCTTTGGTGGTCTTCTTGCCCCACGGCACAGTTCCGCCTCTCGTGCGCTGATCTCCTTTCCACTTGCTCCTAGGCCATGGCTGGTCCAGCTGATTTTGGCTTGGGTTGAGCTACTGGCAGGCAGGACATTCCGTTCGAAGGTCTGGTCAAGGAAGCTGATTATTCCAGCTTGCTATCTACTCTCGGTGGCCTAAAAGTGTGTCTGCCGCGCAAGGCCTCTACTTCACGCGAGCATCACGTCTGATGGCCTTGGTCGGCAGCGTCACGGCAGATGTCGAGAGAAGTTGCAATACATGGCTCGACAAGCAGGGCAAAGGGATTCCGGCCGAGGCTGGTGATGCCTAAAACTCCGAAGCCCCAAGTTTCTGTAGCCATGCGGCATCATGCGCCAGGTCTTCGCGACCTTTGGCAAGGTCCAGAAGCAAGCCGATAGCTTCCTGGTGAGTCAAAGGGAACCCCGTGGGCCCGTGGGCGCATAGCTCGTCAGAGTCGCTCTACCATAACTTCACAATCAGAACATCAGCGGCGCAGGACGAACATGACCAAACGGTATTTACCCGGTATTTGCGCTTGCATCATCAAGTGTTCTCCTCATCCTCCTCCTCTTCCTTTGCCTCATGATGATGATGATCCTCGTTATCATCATCAGCAGTATCATGGACACAGCGTCTAACGTCTGCAGGGGCGAGCAAACTGCTCAGGCTTCTTCCCGGCTTTCCGGCAGCGGGTGGGGCAGCTTGAAGAGTACCTCCGTGCCACTGCAAAGGCAGCTGGTCAAAGAGAGGGGAGGGATGTACGCACCCACATGCGCACGACCACGGCCACACCCGACCCGCGCCCACACAGCCACACCGCACACCCCCAAATCCCCACACCCCCGCATCCCTGCACCCCCACAGCCTACACGCACCCATACGCACCCATAAGCCAGACATCGCCCACAATGGAGACAGCTGCCGAGATAGACCTGCGGTTCGGCGGCCCGTCAGTTTAGACTTGTCAACTGTCTGCGTTGGCTCGCGAGGCAAACAAGCAAAACGGCCTGTTCGGCAGAGCTACTCGATCGAGATCTTGAGGGGTGGAGCTGGAAGCACGAGAGGATATGAGACGTTTGAGAAGCTTGCAGCCGAAATTGATAGCGACTCGAGATGGCTTCACTCATGCAAAGCAAACCATGATCTCAGGCAAGTGGCCTGTTCCCAGCTGCTGGCGCCTAGTTTGAGTTTCGAGGATCTCCCCGAAACTTGGGCACGAGAAGCGGTGCGATGCAAGGAGCGATCAAATCATTCTCGAGACGGGCCACAGAAGCTGGCCTTGCCTTATCTAGCATCAAATTAGGCCCAGAGCCTCCTGTCCTTGGAGCTCGAAGGCAGCCTCCAAGGCGTTGTTCTAGTGCAGTGAATTCGTGACTTCCCTGCGGGGGGTCACGTCGCAGCCAAGGGGCGCTTTGCGATTATTACGATTGGTGCTTGAAAGGAATCCAAATGGGAATGCTTGAGAGAGAGCAGGTAGAAGCAGCCCTGTCATCAAAACATGCCCACGCATCATCCATCATAGAGTCGTGAAGTGGAGCCAAGGTTCAAAGCACTGCAGGAAAGCAAAGGATGGTTTCTGCTCGAGGAGCGTGTCTGGCCACTTGCCACAGGTGCAGTTGGTGTTGAGAGTTGAGAGTCGGGCGCACCGTATGCTGTTCGCTGGGCATCCTTGCCAGAATACATCTTTGTCCACATTCGTGCGTGGGTAGTTATAGTTCCTAAGCTCATCCAAGGACTGCACCCGGAGTGGTCCATTCAGAGACGCTGTGACCTTCCAGGTCAGGATGCGGAGGTGATCTGCTGAGGCTGCAGCAAACTCGTGCAGGTTGTGTTTGGACTCAGGGTTTTATGTGCAGCTCTGCGTGGCCAGGCGGGCAACGCAGATGTTGACTGCGCATTGCGTGCGTAATGTCTCCGATCCCTGCAGCCAGCGAAGAACCATTACTGGTGACATAACCGATCGTATTCGAATGGATTGCTGGGGGATTGGAGACAAGCTTGATGAGCGGGTCGCACTCGCATTCGCTCGCTGCCATGCTGGATTTTGCCACGTGGCACATGGTGTACAGGATGTCTTAGTCTATGTTTTGCATGGAAAGGCACCGTCGTGGCTCTGTCACGCTGCAGAATTGCACGAAACGGAGTCTGGACGTGCCTAGAGGGCCTAGCTAGGGTCTAGCAGTATCAAGCATCTAGGTTCATAGTAAATGCCTCGACGGCACTTTGCCTCGTCTGGGCGATCAGCTGGAGTGGCATCACGGACGTTTCTCACGAGCCCTGGCTCCTTACAGCCCGTTTGCCGCTAAACCCTAAGGTCCAAAACCCTACGGAAACTCGACAAGGAAATCATACAAGCCCAGGCGGTGAGGTTCCGAGAAGAGAGCGCCCGAGAAGAGCATGCCAAGCATGCTCATCACGTGGTTTAGCGAGGTGTTTGATTTTAGTTTCCATTGGTGGATCAGGCTTTTCGCACTTCCAACATCTTTCAGTGATCTGCTTGCCGTTGCCACGTCGCCACGGTCTTCAAACAGGTGTGTAGGGCGGCATATTCCGCAGCTGCGATTCCTCGCAGCGTAGAGCATGCCGGTTGGCATTTGGGGGCGGGCTTCAGCCGCCATGCCCCTGACAGGCTCGTACCGGGATTGCTGACTGTTCCCGTCGTCCATAGTAGCCCAACACGCAAGTCATCCTCGGAGAACCTGCCGCTTCGAGGATCGATGCCGGGAAAGTCGAGGTGCAGTTCTTGTCTTGTGCTTGCTTCTAGTGGCAGTCCTCTCGATAACACTATCGTAACTATTCTTCTTGGCATTACTGCTATTATGATCGCAATGATTAGTGTTAGTATTCTTGTTATCAGTATCCGATATTTGGCAGGCAACCAGGAGCAGCCCGGGTCTCGATCCGACCAGCAAAAGTGGCAAGCAGCCTCTCTGCCAGCTCAGGCCTTTCTCGCTGCTGTGCTTTGCAAGGGCCCAAAGAGTCTTCTGTCGTAGCTCCTGCTGCTCTAGTCATAAACATAACAATGATAGCAACAACAATGCAACAATAGGAATGATAATCACAATAACAACAACCAATAGTAGAGCTACTGCAATAACACCATTATTATAGTTAATCATAACACTAGTATGATCCACAGCCAAAGCCGAATTGGAGCTAAGGCTGGTCCTGGACGTTTGGGAGGCGGGTTCTTGTCGGTTTTGGGTAGTGTATTTGTCGCAGCCTCCTGTAAAAGTGGCGGAACGTGAAGGTCTGAGACAACCTTCGTGTCCGCGGGAGTCCAGATATCTAGCCGAGGCTTCCGACCAAGGATTCACCAAAGTTTTGCGATGGGGACCACGCTTGTTGCAGGTATGCCAGCTGTTCAGCCAAGTCAAGCAGCACTGCAAAGAACGGGAGCCTAAGACCGAGTCTATGCAGCCATTCCCATGCCGACCGCCCGTACCCGCTCGCAGCATGCTTTTTCCTGTTTCGGCTGAAGGCTTCCTACGAGGCTCCGGCTCTCAGCGTCCGCTCCTTTGCCTGGGCGGGGTCGCTGGCCGCCGCTGCCGTGGTGCTGTCGCAGACCAGGATGGGATATGATGGGATGACTAAGAATCACGGTTCTGTGCGGAGGGATAGTCGACCAAACCTCCTGGAGGCGTCATGCGCCAAGCAAGAGCCAGTCACCTGGCCCGCGGGTGGTCATGCATGCCAGGCAGCTCTTCCGGGGCTGCTTTCGCCAACACACGCAGCTTTACGACTGCCTGGGTGCAGGTCAGCCAAACCCACCACCCCGGCTTGGCAGCCCAGCAAGCCAACATATCGTTTTGAGTCTTGACTCCTGGTGTGTGAGTGTAGGCGGTCGCGTCGCTGCAGATTGAGTAAAGAGACTAAGGCTGGCAGCCCCAAGAACAAGCGACGGATCCGGGCAGGAAGGATGAGGTGCTTTCTAGACTTGACAGGGCGAGACCTTTCTTGCTAGTTCCTTCGCAGTCGTGACTGCTTTGCCCAGCCAGGCCCATCTACAGAGGCAGGCAGCTTGCCGTTCGGGTTAACCCCAAGACAAACAAGCCTGTGCGCTACAAGATGCACGCCTGGACCCCAGCAGTTCGTCCAGAGGAGCAGTGGGGTCTTCGCCCGCGGGTGCTAGTCTTTGTGCTTATAACTTTGGTTTTGATCCAGCTTGTTGTGGTTTGGGGGTTCTGAAGCACCTCACCTTTGGACTGCCGCGAACCTTTGTCACCGAGTGCTCCGGTCCCATCGTTTTGCTTCTCCCGACTGTTTTATCGTTGAGGTATTCTTGTTCTTTGCCTAGATCCTCAAAAACTTTAGCGCTGCTATCATGATGGCATTTGTTTTTTTGTTCCGTGCTTGCTACCCTTTGTTCATTACTCCTCAAAGCCGAAGGCTCTTTAGACTTGATGAGTGTTGTTGGATGGATGCCGGGATCATATCTCTGCCTAGGCTTGCTGACACCAGTGCTGCCAGCTACGTTTTGTGGGATGAGAGTCAGTACGCATTCCTTGCTTTTGTCCTTGCTGTTGTGGCTGCTATCGTTGGAGCTACTACTCCTAAAGCTTATGGCTATGCAGCTATTCCTTGTTTGCTATTCTGCAGATATGAGTCATTTGCAGATGAGACGTGTTCGCATGGGGCGACGGTGCTGGCCAACCCCTCTCACTCCACAGCTGCAGCCAAGCCATGCTGTTTACAGAAGCCGGCCAACCCGCTTCCCCCTGCCACAAATCATAACGATATCTCCGCTGCTTGGTTATCATGGTTGCGACGGCGGCTCTCAATGGTCAAGTTGTGCAAGCTCGCAAGAGCTCCTAGCCGCTATTCGGTAGCCTAGTCTACATGATCTTCGAAAGTTCCGACTGCCGTAATCAGCCACAACTGCAGACACTGCAGCTACTGCTGAACTTGCGGAGTCATAGCTCCTGGCGCAAGGAAAACAGGATCCATGACATACAGCACTTGCAACACACTCCTGCACAGAGAACTCTGTATTTGATCTCGGCAGGCGGCAGGCTGCCACTACATTGGGTATGTTTTGATTCTGACAACGTCGTTGTCGTGACGTTGCTAAGGTCATGCCGGGCGACACCGTCCAGGTCATGAAGGGCAAGGACGCCGGTAAGGCCAGAACGCAGATTATCCGAGTGAGTAAGTGGCTGTTTCAGGCAGCGCGAGATGCTCGCAGGTGACCGAAGTGCTGAGAATCTACCCCAAGTGGAACAAGATCCTCTGTCTGGGCGTGAACTATTGCATCAAGCATGTCAGGCTGGCCTGCCAGTCTTGTGAGCATGCAAGCACTTCTGCATCGGCATCATCGGCAGTATTGCTCCGCATGCAGTGCGCGCATGAGTGCATGTGCGCGCGCGCACGCGTGTGTGTGTGTGTATATGTATGCATGTATGTAGCTATGTATGTGTCTGTTTATGTATCTATGTATGTACGTGCGTACCTCTCTATCTATCTATCTATCTGTCTATCTATCTAATCTGATCTATCTGTCTGTTTGTCTACTGCACATGGCGTGTATGTATGTATGTATGTATGTATGTATGTATGTATGTACGTACATATGTATGTATGTATAAAATTTTGGAGGAGTGCCTGAATGAGTGCAGGAATGACTGAACGAAGGAATAAATGAATGGATTAGGAGCGAGCGAACTCAACGAACGAACGCGCGAAGGCATGCAAGCACGAACGAACGAAAAAAGGAAGGAGGGAAGGAATGACTTTGTTCGTATGCGCAGCTGCATCCGGATGCCGAGCGCAGAAGTGGCACATTATTTTGATCTCCCAACCTCTTGGCTCCATGTTTATCTGCAGCAGTACATGACTTGCAGGCCACAGCGCGAAGATGAAGTGGGCCAGCGAGTACAGGTGGAGCTGAGTTTCATGTGCTTACAGGCTTTCTGTTGAATTCTAAGATTCTACTTCATCAAGCAAGGTCGAGTCACTTGTTTCTAGTTCAGGCCCCCCAGATCTGTGGGGTCTTCGTTCTGCTTGGTTTTGTTTGCTGCATTGGATGCAACCTTCCACTTGCACGTAGCATCTGACGACGTAGAGCCACGCTGAAACAACCAGCATGAGGCTAGTGCTGAAGCCTTAGCGTGTACAGAACACTTGAGCTGTGCCACTCTGCACTGAGTCTTCCTGCCAGGTGGAAGCTCCCATGCACTCGTCGTGGGCACTGTTCTGAGCATCTGCTCACACTTAGTTGATGCCAGGAGGTGGGCCAGTCCCTCCCTGCTTATTCAGGTCATGCACTATGACGAGGACGAGGAGGTAGCTGGCCTGTTGGGCGTGCGATTCAACAAGAAAACCTTCAAGGACCCGGCTCGTGACATGGCAGATTCACAGATGGCTCCCTGTGGGTACAGCCATCGTCCTTGATCTAGCTTATATCAACGTCTTTCTTCTCCCTGCCTCTCCCCAACAAGCCCTCGTGCTTGGAATGGTTTGGAATTTTTCGCAGGACGGCACAGAGATTGTGAAGAAGGTGAGATACAACAAGTCGACCGGCAACGCGGCGTCCTGAGTCCTGAGAGATCCTGACAAGAGGGCCTTGCTTTGTGGGGCCACCGAGGCACACTGAGCTTTCAGGATGCAGAACTCCTTCTTTCGGTTGGCATGTCGCTTGAATTTCTGCTTCTTTAGCTCAGGAGATCCCCGTCAGGGCACCGTCGAAGTGGATTCCTGTTCTCGACCGTGGCATCCTCAGAACTCAACACAGCTGGTGGTGCACCGAAATTCAAGAAGTAGTTTTTTTTGCTGCGCAGGCGTGGAGGATGAAGACTGAGATGGGCTGCAGCCCATACCCATCGCGACCACATTGCTAGTAGTAGTAGTAGTAGTAGTAGTAGTAGTAGTCGTAGTCGTAGTCGTAGTCGTAGTCGTAGTCGTAGTCGTAGTCGTAGTAGTAGTCGTAGTTGAAGTAGAACTAGAAGTAGAAGCAGAAGTAGAAGCAGAAGGAGTAGTAGTAGTAGTAGTAGTAGTAGTAGTCGTGGTCGTAGTAATAAGAAGAATAATGATAGAAACAGTTTGCTCTAATTCGTGGTTTTGTTGTTGGTATAGGACTAGGCACCAACTGAACATGCTATGAACACCTGTTTTTTTGCTTCTGAGGATTGCATCAACAGAATGTAACTCACCGCTCCCAAGAATTTGGCAAATGCAGTCTGATGCATTGTGGCACTTGGTTTGGTCAAAATGCTAGCTACCTGCTAGTCCAGCTATTGCTACGAGTTGCGAACCCTCAAACATGCTCGAACTGAGACTGATTTTTTGGTTTCATCAGTCTTGCCATTGCTCACTAATCTCACGATCCGTTGTCCCGAGGTGTAAACCTGTAAAGCCTGCAAATCCCACCCTCCAACAGCATCATAGAATAAACTTCAACATTCATGCAAAGGTTTTAAGTTTAGTCTGATGGTATTCACTCAGCACAACCTTTGCTTGTACGAGTTCGTGTGATACTGTAGGGGACTTCAGAAAGCCGGCTGAGAAATGTTTGCACCCTCAGCAACCGCGACACCTTGTCTTGTCGCACCGGCTGCATCTCTGCAAAGCTCTGTGGACTCGTGGCTGTTCGCACGTGTCCTCTTCCGAAGTACAGTTTGCACTCGGAAGCCGTCAGGCTCCTCAGACGCCTCGCCTGGATTGTCCCATTGATAGGCGAATAATACGGTCGCAATCTTACTGAAGAACTGGGAGGCGCAGTTTCCAGATCACCAATTTGAATGGGAAGCCCGGAGCCTTTGATTCGCCAATGCCGGACATGGCGCATGCTGGCAACCGCTGGTCGCGGCACCGGCGTGCTGAAGGAGGCCAAGGCCACGCAGCCGAAGTAGCCGGCGAGACTGCCGCGCAAGCCGACGAGGCATCGGAGCGAGCGACGCAAGGCGGGCGAGTCGGACGCAGTGGTTGGAGAGGTGCTCATGGTGCTCACGCATCGCAAGCATCGCAACCGGCGAGCAAATCGCTCGAGACGTGGGAGGTGCCTTGCGAGGAGGTTCGCAATAGCGATGCAACGTTACAGCTGAAGTCTGGGATTCAGATGCCTCGTTTTGGCTTAGGCACCTGGCAATCACAGCGTGGTGGAGAGTGCAAAAGAGCGGTAGCCGAAGCATTGAGGGCCGGCTACCGGCTCATTGACACAGCCCAGGCCTATGGCAACGAGGTCGACGTGGGACAGGCCTTACGAGAGGCAAGGCTCAAGAGGAACGAGGTCTTCATCGTGACGAAGCTCAGCAGTCGAGAGCATGGAGGCAGCCACGCAGCTGCTGCTTTGAAAACTTCACTGTCACGGCTGCAGCTGGACTACGTTGATCTCTTCTTGATTCATAGCCCTCGGGGTGGTTTTCTGCTGGAGACGTGGGATTCCCTGATCGAGATGCGCAACGCGGGCCTGACGCGTGCGGTCGGCGTGTCCAACTTCGGAGCCGAGCAGCTGATGTCGCTGCAGCAGGCAGGCAGGGAACTGCCGGAGGCAAGGGCCTGAGCTGAGGGGGGAGGGCCGCAGGGCGGGGACTCGGATCTGAACGATCCCATGCATCAGGTCAACCAGATCGAGCTGCACTGTTTTTGGCAGCAGCGAGAGACGGAAAGCCTCTGCAACGAGTTAGGCATCGCGTTGATGGCGTACTCGCCGCTGGCCCGTGGCAGCCTCTTCGGTGCCACTCCTTTGGCCCAGCTCGCCCCTCCCTGAGCTTCTCAGCCGGTAGAGCCCCACTGAGTCACAGGTTGCGAGAGCTGAGGCTCAAGAGAAGGCCTGCTCTGAAGCCGCGCTCTGCATCCGGTGGGCCTTCCAGAAGGGTTTCATCGTCATCCCCAAGTCCGTGAACCCACAGCGCATCCTTGCCAACATTGCAGCACTCCGTGGGCCAGGGCTGACACCACGTGAGATGCAGGCCATGGAGCAATTGGACCAAGGTTTCTGTGCTTGCCCCGCCGCCAGGGCCATGCAGACACCCTGGGAAGAGGTAGCCAGCAAGGCCCCTGTCCGAGGGAAGGGGAAAGGGAAGTCCAAGGGCAAGGGCAAGGGCGGCAAGGGCCAGGCTGAAGTTTCAGAGCCCCACTTCGCCTCCTGGGCTGAAACTTTCAGTTGAGGTTCTTGCCACGAGATGACACACGAGACCATACATGGAAGCCGCCCCTCCCGCGACTGAAAGCCACGCTTAGGGCTCCTGGCAGCCCGTGATGGCCCGTGGCAAGGGAGAACGGGAGAACGAGCTGAAAATCGGAAAACATGGCGGAGGCCCAGAAGCACAGCAGAAGCACGGCAGCCGGCAGCCGAGATGCGACACCCTCGAGCCGGTGCACTCCCAATCGAGTTGCGCAAGCTGTGGTTTAACCAAAAGAGCCAGGCAGCTGTTCACAGCATCTCTCAGCTTGATGAGAAGGACAATCGCACCGCGACTTCTTCGGTCCTGCCAGCTGTCTTAGTTTTCAAGAGCCGCATGACGAACTTAGCTGGTTCACAAAGTGCACCTGTCAGTGGTTGAGCTTCTTTCTTCCACTGCAGACCGCCCTCGGGAGACATTGTTGAATGGGAGTGAATGTAGAGACATGCATGTCCGCCATGTCCTCAGCCCGAGCACCAAAAGCGTGACGGCAAGGACTCAGGCCAGGTGGCGTTCACAAACACAGCCCTGCAGCTCTTCCTTCGAGTGCCCTTTGATTTTGAGGAGCTGTCGATGTCTAGACAGCGGGAGAGCCACTAGCGAAGATGGCCATGAGAAGGGTGCCCAGACTCAACAGATTCAACGGCCGTGGCAGGTTGCAGACTAACCTGCAAGTCGCTCTGTGCCTTGAGCTGTGCACACGAGGCCCATTCTAGAGCTCTGCTGATCATCGCGGTGCTGTGTTTGCTCGGCATCGGCCTGGACTTTGTGGCACCGGACATCAGCATCATCGAAGGGCTTCAGGACCGGTTGTTCAAGCCGATTTGGCGGTGCAGTTTACTGAGTCTGTATAATGATCCCCTGGTAGAAAGATGTAGAAAGCCAAGCGCACGAGAGAACCGTCATGATCCTACGGCATCCTATGTGAGAGTGTTCACCAGGGCGTAGCCGGAAGGGTACTGGACCCGGTGCTGTGACAGGAAATTGGCATTCTGTCCGAGATCGGGAATGGGATAGCTGACGCCGGAGTTGTGACAGAAGTGATTGCCAGCGAAACTGACCAAGCCACTGGGGCCACTGAACTGGTCCTGGCGCTCGTCTCTGGTGCAATGCTTGGAGCGCGCAGGCGCCAGAAAGGCGAACGAGCAGACGAAATGCCCAAGAGTCGACCAAGCTTGGTGGCATCCTGTGATAGATGGGAACTCACACACAAGCACAAAGACCACAGCCCTTTGCTCAACCTGGGAGATCCGATGGAGAAGCTGCTGGCAGACCACCATACCCGCCAGCATCGTGAGCGGCAAGAGGCTGAGCGTCCGGACACCGAGGGCACAGATTCAGACCTCTCCCAAGCAAGGCGTTCGACGCGAGGCCCGGGGCTGGGACATGCCTTCAATCCTCGCAAGTTGATGTGAGAGGCGCCGCCGGAGCGTGGGTTCTGGATGAAGAGGGAGGCACTGCTGTCAGTAGTGGCAACCCCCGCGGTCTCAGCATAGACGATGTCGAGCCCTGCTCAATCCACGGTCAAGCTTGTTTGGGGAGCCAGGTCAGAGCAGCGGCTATTGGAGCTCACCGAGATTGCCACTCGCCCCGTGGCGGGTACCGAGCAAAGCTCGCAACTCGCCCAGTGGCTGGCTTGGCATTTGCAGGCCAGCTGGTGGTGCTAGGGTCCGACATCACAACAGCACATCCGTCCATGGCATGGCAGGAGCAGCGACGTGCCGACAGATAGATTGGCCAACCGGGCAAAGCATCATGGCACGATTGTATTTGCAGGGTGGAGGCTGATCACATGCAGCACTCATGCTTGCTGGGTAGCGAGTTGACGGCAAAAAGCAGTCGTAGCTTACCGAACGCTTTTGTTTCGCAGAGATTGTGCGTGCTTAGCTTGCCTCTATTCCGCGACTACGGCCTCGATTGCAGGCATGGTCCATGAAATCGTTTTCGCTTCGGCCTCGTTCAGAAGACATATTAGACTAGTCACCCTTTTTGCGCTACTTGCTCTGCTAACTTCTGCCGGATGTATCACCTCTCACGCTTGCCCGACTCGTGCACGTCGGCATGCCAACGGCAAGCCCCATCTCCCCAGAGTGTTGGGCAGGCAAACGCTCGGTAGCAAAATGGAGCTTCAAAGCAATCGGTCGGGGCAATTCGCAAAATTGCTTGCTGGTCCGGTGGCGGTCATGTACGACAGAGTACGTGACCTTCCCACGCACTGTGCTTTCGTAAAAGTTTTGGTCGTCGCTGTGCTCCGAGGACTTTGATCCCTTTCGAAGCTTGCCTGAATCCTCGGTGGTGCGAGCGAAGTGGTTAGGAATGTGGCCTGGATCTGCCCTTTCGATATTGCTGAGTCAGGTGTACTTCCTGCATTTGCTGGGCTTCACCATGCAAGGACTCATTGTCCAAATTGACAGATGGGTGACCGAGCTCTGTCGCGAGGACCCATCCTGCCAGCCCTGAGGGCACACTTCCACCTCCGTGCTTCTCAGACCGGCTTGATCACCTCAGCCTTCCCGACTGGCATGCTCGTGGTTGCTCGTTCGCAAACTGCGAGGTGGCATGTCCTTTCGGAATTGTTTTGGACGAGCATTGGGCTAAGGCGCTGTTCTTCTATCCACGCCTTAGTGATGTTTGGGGCCGCCGCTCGTCCAAATGACTTTTAAAGTAGTCGTGATGATACCAGTCCGGCAGTGCAGAACCAGTCAGTCTACACTCAATTCCTCGAATTGCTGAGACACCGCTACCGGTCTCTCTCCGCCCGCCCTTCTCTGCATATACTGTCTATACATATATCATATATTTATATGCACACATATAAACATGTATTTATGTATCTGTGTATGTCGGTGTATTGGTAGTGATATGCAGCATACCCTGTATGGAATTTTGGAAACAGTTCGTGAGACCATCAGAATTCCTGTATGTGCAGTTGCGAGGTGGTAGTGAACAAGAAACCCTGCCGACACCCCCCCCCCCCTCTCATCGGGGATGCTTGTGTCAGAATTACTGAAATGTACTTCAGCAGCCGCTCCGGTTATGAAAATGTTATGCGTTATCTCTCATGGGAGATTAGAGTCCTCAATCCCATATGACCAACCCGACAGCCCCCGACACAGCGGCTGCTGAGTGTGGGCTTGAGGGGTTGGGTCGGGGTTGCCACATGGAGCCCCAGATCGGTTGCCTTCAGTCAAGCCCGAAGCCGCGCACGCTGACTAGCCGCCATCCTATAGGGGGGTTAGAGTTGAAATACATGAAATCCTTCGTAAATCTATTCCCGGCCTTGTCCCCGGAACAACAGATGCGGACTCGAATACTGCTTATACCGTTTGACTGATCTCATTGACTATAGGATTGTGTAGTTGCCAGAACTTTACCTCAGCATTGCTGTATCAGGGTTGATAGTTGCATGCGTCCTGAGGCAAGCCGGTGCTGCTGGTGTGTTTGACCGGCGTCGGCGTGGGCTTCTTGCGACTCTACGACACAGGAAGTGTTATCAGACATCCTGTAGAATGTACTACGGCACGATATCGATCTACACACAGGTCTTTCTATATCTACACACAGGTCTTTCTATGTACTGGGCAATAATGGGGTCACTTAGATGTATGCGTGCACACCCGCAGCCATACGCTGGCCCAGGCTGCAGAGCTACGCGCTGAAGCTTCACTGGTCATTCCGAACTTTCCTCAAGCTGCGCATCCTCAGTGGGACGTTTGCTGGAGCAGCTGTTGCTACCTGGGATGAAGAGATCTCAAGGTGTGCTGTAGTCCCGATAGTTAACTTCGTTTCGGAAGGTTTTGTAAGCGAAGGCCTGACTTGGTAGTACAGCTCCCGAGTAGTGCTGGAGTCACCAGACTCAGAGGAGTTGAACTCCTCACGTGTTAGGTACTGTACTGTAAGGCGAGGTCCTCTCTCGAGCGAATAGCCGAAGGAGCCCCAATCTGAGGTGATCAAGGCATTCATGGCCGACCTGCATCCGGATATCATGCCCAGGGCCGTGGCCAACCGATCCTCCGCCACAAGGGAGGGTAAACAAGGGATGTGTGTAAAGGTGCGTGTATGTTTGCATGTGCATGTACGTATGTCTGTGCGTTTTATACATATATACATAGACACACGTGATCGTGTACATTTACACATGCATGGTAGATCTATGTAGACGTTTGTGTTTATGTACATGTACGTACAAGTTGCAAGCATATGCACAAGCACATGTATATGCATGTGCATAAGTTTATGTATATTTACATGTATATGTACATGTATATGTACATGTAGATGTAGATGTATGCATATACGTATGAGTAGAGGTACACGTCTATGCATACTTATGTGTACTTTCGTGCAGAAAAGTACGTGTATATATATATATACATACATTTCTATGTATGTATACATACATGGGTAAGGTGCATGCATGATCTGCATATGCACAGTTGCATGCACATGGATAGCTTTACGTATGTGTATGATACATTATGTTATACTAGTATTAAGAATCGTTTTCTCACATGACTCACATGACACTATCTTATATGATGCTATACTCGTATTATCACATACATACATACATACATAAATACATACATACGCACACACAGACACAAACACACGTGTACACAAATGTATATATATATATATATGTAAGCATACATGACATACATACATACATACATACATACATACATACATACATACATACATACATACACACACACACACACCGACAGCGATATACACACACAGAGAGACACATACATGCATACATACATGCATGCATGCATGCATGCATATGTACATATATGTATATACACACACTCACGTACATGCACACACAAATGTAAATGTATGTGTATATATATATACATACATACACACACACTATTCTCATCCCCTCGGGCGACAGACCGTCGTAACGAAGACATAAATGTGGTTAGATAGCAAAAGCTGAAGGATATTATGATTGGATTGACAATCGTATTTTGCATCTCGAGCCCACCGTTCTGTTAATGGTCAACATATTTCTCTGTAAGTATCCCGCTTCTCGTTATAGAAAAATACCACTGAGACTGTTGTTCTGGTAGGGGTCCTGTTTTGTTGATATTGTTACTATTACTGTCGCTGGTGATCGAGCATATCCACCAAACGCAGTGTAAGCCACAACGTATCAAGACCAGCAAATACAAAGCAGTGGTGGATCATTGCGCTGAGTCAGCTCAACTGGTAAGGAATGGTCCGCAGCAGCCGGCAGATGTCAGTAAAGGGAAAGGATATGCAAAAGGTAAGGGAAAGGCGTTCGATACAATCAAGTCGGAAGTAGCTCGCGTGCGACAAGAGGAAGCCGACGAAGAGGGCGTGTGACTAGCACTATAATAAGAGGCGCACAATGCAATTCGCTTCTAATCTCAATTCTACTTTCACAGCTCTTATGCAACATTCTGAGGCAGTTGGCACAATATTCAAGAATGGAGGATGTTATTGTTTCCAAAGAAGAAAAGATTTGTTTCAAGAGCTCGAAAACAGGGAGAAGGCAACAGGAACAACTACCGAAAATGGCCTATGACAGAACACTCAAAGCAGCTACACTGAACGTCAGCTGTTGAGTAGGTGAAACGCCATTACAAAAGTACACTTTATCGTGGACACAATGAAATTTCAAAACTGTGATATTTTGCTGCGACACGAAGCAAGTCTTAGTTCCAGTTCAGTTCGTGCGATTGACGGTTATCTTTCTGCCATAGCTCTGATGTAAAGCGGCCAGATATCCAAATTACGAAGAACCGCATACAGTAGAAGACGCGACGGTAAAACAAAAAGGACAAGCAACAGTTCAACGGACTGATGTCGTTTCACCCCGCACGAAGTACTCCGTCAATGATGTCCGGCAATTTACTGGCAGCATCATAACGACAAGACTCAACTCTGTCAGTTAACATATGCTTGTCACGTCCGGCTACGCCCCTCACAGTGGTTACGACATGGAGGTAAAGAGCAAGTTTTAGGGTTACTTGGCTACCAGATGTAGAAACAAACAGCTGCGTTTGTCGGGGCCAGACTTCAACACCGACTGCACTCTGAAGACAGCTCTGGAAAACAGGATGCTCGTTGCAGTCTTCTGCCAACAACTCGGGCTAAGGTTTCTAAACACCTCATGCTTGCGAAGACCGGCGAAGGAATGCTGTACTTCTCGGGAAAACACCACTACGCATGGACAAAACAAGACTCCGACGCGACAAGCGCAAATTCATGCCTGGTAATTGGGGAGGTTATGGAGGTTAGGCAGCTCTTTGATCGGTCTGCCAACTGAAGCCGAATAAGAGTCTGACCAAGAACCTACTAATCGTTTACCGGTAGCAATGTGGAAAGAGCAACTCTTGGCGAAAAGTAGATACAGTAGCCTCAAAATAAGTGTTGTGAGACCCCTTCAAAACCAGCAGTACATTTCTAGGCGCACATGGTCGCAAATCCACAACTGATGTCCGTAGGCCTGTGTAATTTCACGTCCAGCATAACTTGCCGCATTTCCCCATTCACTTAATGACAGTGTCACTGTACATTACAATATCAGATCAGGTGTCTCTGTTCAGGCCCAAAGCAGCCCAAACTGAGCTGCTGCCTCCTATTTCGTCCAAGAGGCTATTGCATGCTTGCGCGCATGTTGTGATTATACGTGTGTCGTTAGCATAACTCACTCTGTCAAAGTCAAGCCTTTCGAACCGTGCATTGTGCATCTCGTTCTAGCAGTGGTATTCCTGCTAAGGTCCTAATCGATGACTTTATGACCAGAACGAAAAAACGTATGGTGTCTAACGCCAGACATCTGATCTTCAGTTTTGAAGGCGCCATACCGCGTTCTACGCAGAACCTTGGATTCTTGCAGCAGTCTATGAGAACCTTGATAAAGTGATGATGAAAGCCTAAACGCTCCAAAGCGATAGCCAGTCTGTCATGTTGAATCCTGGCTTTCTCCCCATCAAGCACTGCGATCATTGAGTTGGTTCCCCTCTGCTCCGCGATATTTTGAACACGTCTTGTACAGCAAATTGTGCAACAAGTGCTTCAAGAACGTCTCAAACATTTTTTGAGTTGCAGATAGCATGGGGTCAAGCACAGACTGCAAGCGATTTCGGATTAAACACAGGTGAGTTTTGCAAACGGAGTTCAGAAGTGAGACAGGTGCGTATTTTGAAGGAAGATATGTATCTGATTTCTTGTGCAATGGCACGACACCAGCCAAGCAAGCATGATGTGCTTGGTAGACCACCAGCCATGCATGTAGTACGTTTACAATTACTTTTGTGTATTCGTCCTTTTGAACAAGTCCATTACTAGACCGTCAGGTCCCGGCTGCTTTTTCTTCCTACTCTTTAATGCTGCTTCAGATTCCTCAGGAATGCGCCGTGCAAGGCTTCAGTTTTTCTTTGCTTTCGATGGTTTATGTGCCAGTGTATTGCCAATGTGTTTATTTTCTTCCAAACAATGGTGTCCGCTTCCGTCTTTCGGAGCAACAAATGTCCCGATTCAATATCTTTCACGTGTATGAAGTGCGAAAACCGTCAGTTCCTTTCCATTTATCCTTCTGATCTGCCATGTGTCTCACACCATCGAAATGGCATGTTTCGTCCTTTTGCGCATCGTTCTTGATTTCTTCAGTCAGCTCTTTGCTGGTATCATTCGTACCTTGAGCAAGCTGCTGTACGGGCTTGAGACAGTACTTCTGACAAGGGGCATGCTGAAAATGCTGATGCATTCCAGCCGCGCGGTTTCCGGAAGATTTTCGGAATGGATACCACTTCTGTCAACAGAGCAAATACGAATGCAAGAGTCATCGGGACAGCTAATGCGCAAATAAGAGGACAAAACGAATTAAAACTCTTTCAGAGCTTTTGATAGCAAAAACGTGCAAAGCTGGCTAGTCAGCTGCCGGCCAGATTCGGCACAAATGTTCCACGTTTGCAAAAGCAGAGTAGGGCGACCTAGGCAAAATTGGTTGTTCTACACGAACAAGTTCATGTGGGAAACATGCACGTCACGTCCGTTGGCTCCTTATGCCAACACAAACAGGCAAAACCAGTGCATATCCATTTTTCAAGCAACGCGACGTTCCCACTCCTGCAGCATCATGCCAAGAGAGGGAGGGGACAATGGCAACTCTGCTTTACAAAGCATTTCTCCCATCATCCAATTGTCATCGTCATCAATCCCGTCACGTCTAGGGTTTAGACAAGAAAGCAATAAACAACAAAATCGGTTAATATGTGCCAAAAGCAATCAAACAGAGAGGAATACAAACATAGCGGAATACAAGGTTTAAGCAGCAGCCCAAAACATGTTGAGCCATCTTTGATATTCAACGATAGCAATCCTCGCGCAGCAGATTCAAAGCATGTGCGTTACCTGGTTAGCCCATCATTCTATTCAGGGTGCTTGTGCAAGTTGGTGACTAGTTCAAGAACAGGTGTGAACTCGTAGTTCAACATTCATCTTAAGTTGCAGGAGCATTGGACTCAACAGTCGATGCATTTACCTTAAGGTGTTTGGCATCGATTGATGTGAATACCAACTGTTGGGCGATTACTCTGAGTGAATCATGGGAGTACTTTACCCAGGCAAGCCTGATTAAGCAACAGCAAGACGGGGCAGCTGAAGGAACCAGAACGGCGACAACAACAACAATAACATTGAGAAATGTAAAAGTAAAGCTCACTTGGCACGACGAATTGAAAATGCCAATGCCTACACTTAAAACAGTGGGCCGCGAATTGCTACGAATGTCACGAACTGCTACGAATGGCTACTAGTACTACTATTACTACTCGTACTATTTACCGCTGATTTGACACATGCACCTGAAGACTACTGTAATAGTGACTGTCATTCTTACAACTTTTCCCATGTATACCGCAACAGATCTGAACATACGGCTTACTCCGTCTATGACTGTCGTGTATGAAATAATGAAACACTACTTAGTATAAAAGACAGCAAAACATACCCACAGTATTGACACTACTGCGAATGAATAAGTGGAAGCTCAATAGACGTGTCTGTTGCATGTCAAAAAGCGATAACGACAGCGAATTAAAGATAACCACTCCTCACCTTGATATGAAACCTGCCTTGAACAGATCAGGAACCAAACTATTAAACCTCGACGGTTGATGATTGACACTTCAAAGAGGTCTGATACAATCGTTATTCATGTGTGAGGCTCAGATATCAGGGTTACGCATATGGGCATGTCTAAGCACAAGAACTGGATGAATGATTGATTTTGTGATGAAACACATGGTACATGATCATCCAAACAATGTTATCAAGCTTGTTCAAAAAAGTAGTTTTGGAATCGTAGAAGGAAACTGCATAGCTGCTTTGGTGAAGGGGTTTAGAGTTTTGGTACTGGGATTTCGGGCAAGAGCGCAGGCCGCGTGGTACACCAAAGATGAAGGATACTACCCATAAACTAAAGATCAGAAAATGCCGGAAGTGTCAAGGGTGTTGGACCAAAACCAAACAGCCTAAAAACCAACAAGCCAAAACTACGACATACTCCAGGCATTCACTCTGTTTTTTGGTCTTTTTGGCATCAGGCGGTGGTTGAAGCCATACGAATGCAGACCAACACAAACACACCAATATCCACCCATTTCCGGTATCCTCTGCAGATCTTTGCTTGTTTCCTTGTTTGTTTCGTCTCACCTGAATCGCCGGTGGGAGCGGTGTTTTAAAGGAATTGGTCTGTCAGGGGGGGAATGTGTTGATATTTGTATCTCTAGTCTTTAGCTTACACGCAAATTCTAAATTCAATTTTATGTTAAGTTTGTACTTGTCTTTATATACATGTTTATATGTATGTCTGCATGTATTGTATGTACATACTTACGCAGGATTCATGTGTGTGCCTGCCTGCCTACCTGCCTGGCTGGCTGGCTGTCTGTCGGTTGGTCGGTCTGTCTGTCTGTCTGTCTGTCTGTCTGTCTGTCTGTACGTTAATATATGTCTGTATGTATCATGTATGTGTGTAGTGTTTGTATGTATGTATGTATGTATGTATGTATGTATGTAGGTATGTGTATGTATGTATGTACGTATGCAAGCACGTATGTACACGTGTTTGTATGTGTGTATGTCTGTCATTAAGCATGTATGTGTGTGTGTGTGTCTGTCCGCCTGTCTGTCTGCATGTATGTATGTATGTATGTATGTACGTATGGATGGATGGATGCATGTGTGCTAGCATACTTTGTGGTCCAAGGAGAAGCCGCAGCAACCTTGTGTCTGGGCAGATGTCAATAGCCGGGCAAATGGGCACATGCATTGCAGCTAGTCAATTGTGAGCTCGTTTGAGGGCCTTCATCGTGGGCCCGATGTTGGGAGGGCTCATCTACGGCTATGGGTCGGGCGGCATCCTACGTGTAACCCTCTGTGCTGGCCTTATGCAGCAGGGCTGCAATGAGGTTCACGTGTGTGTGTGTGTGTGTGAGAATGCTTCCGAACCATGGCCTTGAACGGCGTGTCGGATGTGGGCGAACTGCCAAGCTGCTGCAGGCAATTGATTGCTGCCTCGCTGGTTCATCATTTCCTCGAGGGCATGCCTCCGCCGGTCCGCCAGCATGTGCCGTCATTCGCGTGTTGGAGAAACTGCTGGGGTACTCTGGCAGGGCGGCGAAGTTCGAACGGGGGAGTCAGAGAATACCACACGCGAACTACCCGCATTCGGATTGGCATCGATTCTACTGCTGCTTGGCAGGCATTTTCAGAAGCCATGGTACATCATGGAACACTTGAACAGAGATTGCTTCTGCATGTGCATGTCTTTCTCAGGTGCAATCTCTTTCTCATCCACGTTCTGTACACCTGTGGCGCAGCAGTTTTCGACAGCTTCTTCGGCGTCGCACGACAGCGAGCAGCATCGCGTGACATTGCCAGAGTAAGCTCGAAAGCGTGCTAAATCGTGCACACGCATGTTCAGAAGCACCCGTCCGCCTTGGCCCGGCAGATCCGGCGCAGGAATTGTTGTGGAGGATTCCTTCATCTTGTTTAAGCACCGCCAGAAGGTTACGGATTACGGGATATGCCTAAGTTATGGATGAGCGCCAATGCAGGTCCTGTAAGGAGCCGTTGTGTTCGAAATTCGAAAGTCCTGGCACGTGTTGTCGCGGGCAAGCATCGGCCGTATCGGGTTGCATGTGATTCTCCACGAGATTTTTTGTGGTACTGATACTTGTTGTAGCCAATGAAGCTCTGATTTCTGTTTGGAGAACTGAAGGTCTGGTGCATTGACACCTTCGGATGGACCCCAGCCCGCCTGGGCTCAGCACTAACCGCTGCGGCGTGCTTTGTACTTCGCCTTCGATCAGAAATCGAAACATGCATTGGCCCGTTGGCCAGACCATCGGCAAGTTTGTCCTTGACCGAGGCATTTTGCACCAATGCCTTCGCATATCGGAGGCAGGCAGCTGGCAGGACACGGACCTTTCGGGGAGTCTGGCAGTGAAGAGGTACATGCTGAAACCAACGCGGGCGGTCGCTGGTGCTGTTATCGGTGCCGACCTCGGTCGCTTCAAAACGACCAATCTTTGGCCCTCTCTCCACGGTTCTGTTTTGGTGCCTGTGTTTTCAGGCCTTGCATCCATCGGCCTGTCTTTTGCTGCCATGAGCATGGCCAAGAAGCCCCTGGTTGCGGCTTGGCTTACAGTAGACTCATTAGACCAACTCCGAGCTAAACATGTTCGTGCATGACTCACAAATCGAGTGTAGAACTCCGGACCCACAAGAGTAGAAGTGCCCGCGGAAACATGGAAGCAAAAACAAAGTCGCTCATGGGCTTGCAGCAGCAGGTGATGGCTATTCTTTTCTGCCAGTCATTTGGAGCATCTGGGTCGCATCGGTGCTGTTGCCAATGCTTCAAACTCCCAAAGTCCCACGCCAACGGCGCAGATTACGTTCTTCACGCCCAGCGTGAACATCCTGATCGCGCGGTGCTGCCCCAGGGGCAGCCGAGGTCTGATCTTCGCCATGGACTCCATCGCGCCTTGGCTTCTGCTGTTGTATGGGAGACCGCACTCGCCGGCTCGCCCGCTCGCCGAGGTCTGCTCCTTGGGCCGCATTTGCTCACCAAGCATTGCCGGCTACCTGGTGGCATACGAAGCGAAAGCCTGGGTTCGGGCTCCTTCTTGGACTCCTCATGAGCAGGGCCAGGGCAGGGGCCGTCAGAGACGGAGGAGCAGGGAGTATGAAGCAGTCTGTGAGACAGCTTTGAACGCCGACCACGACGTACGTCGGATGATCTCGAGAAATCCCGAAGTCTCAGCATTCCAGCATTGCTTTATCCATGGGGTTCGGAGGGAGTTTTGCCGCGTGCCATGCCACCGAGATCCACGGTCCAATGCTTGGATCTGGTGTGTTTTGTTTTGCCCGCACGGTCCGGATTTGATGCCTCCTTACACTCAAGGCCTTCTTCCACCCGTTTCCCTCAAAGGGGACCCGAAAAGGGGATGCCCCGTTCGGGATCGCAAGCAGCGTGCAAAGCCGAGGCCACTTCTATGACCTGGGCCCTGGAGCCGCTTTCCGGGTCGTCTCCTGGGCCCTGATGGCGGCAGCAGGAGCCACGCAAAAAACACGCAAGCTCCTCGTACCAAGACAGAAAAGAGCAAAGAAGCGCAGTCAACAGGTCTATTGTTGCTGCCGGCAAAAAAGGTATCAGGCATGAATGCTTGTGCTTGTTGCAGAGGGCGGTGGCAGGGGCAAGAAGAACGCGGGGACCCGACACCTGAATTCGATTTTCCTCGTTTGCCGCCTGCTTGCTCTCGGAGCTGCTTCTGCACATCGCGCCTCAATTTCTCACCGCGAATCTGTGGTGACGGGCCTCGGCACAGGGCTCGGGCAGTGTGCTCTTTGTCCCCGACTGCCGAAGAACTGTTGGCAGCGGGCGTAGGGGGCGGGGGTGGGGGTGGGCGGGTGGACGGCTTGCCTCTTGAGTCCTTCTTTCCTTGTGGATGGTCCCTTGTGCATTTCTAAACATTTCTACGCGACACGGGGTGATGGAAGACCCCTCAGGTCAGTCCCACAAGAAGAAAAGAATGCAGATTTGTAATGTCCTCGGCACCTGAAGAGAGGTTTTCCTTGGTGGAGTTGGGTCGCAGAAATTGTTTCCGAGCGAGCTCCCTTTTTTTTCCTGCGTGGGGTCCGGGCTAGAGGAGCACGGAGTGAGGTGTTCCCACCATGCGGAAAGGATGGGCAGATAATCTGGCTGGTGGTTGTTTTGCCAGTCAATGAACTGCGTAGCTCGGACCCAGTGCAGCGTGGATGCAGGACTGATGGCTTCGCAATGGCGTCTTCTGAACAGCTTGATTCCCTCCGAGCTTCTGCCTGGCTGGCCATTTCAAAAGGAACCGCCAAAGAGTCCAAAAGAGTCCAAGACTTGAGCTCGTGACATTCTTTATCTGCCAGCGGAAGCAACAAAGCAACTTCAAAGCCAGAGCCACAGACCGAAGGAGTTGAAGCAAGAAGCACGCAAGCTTCGTGCGCAGCTGTGTCATCGCAGCAATTCAAAGTCTCGGACCTTAAGCACTCCTGGGAGCTCCACGAAGCACACGAGGACTGCAGAGCTTCGTGACACGTGCAGCTGGAGATCTCACGAAGTCTTGGGGGGTCTCAGGGTTTCTCCAGACAGGATGCCATCTGCGAACGGCTTTCCAGAAGGACACGGGGCAGTAGTCCATACACGCGCATCCAACCCATAGTGCCCAGCAGTTGGATGACCGCAGAGTGATCTTGGTGCATTCTTCGATGGCTTTTCGGAAAGTGCGGTGAAGTCGCAGGCAACCAGGAGCCTGTCAAGCAACTTCACCCAGCCGCCACCTCATTGCTAGATTGGGGCAGCGGGCAGGTTGTCCGGGGTTGTCTTCATGCCGGCCCAGGTGCTGCAGCCGCCTCCAGGACTGCCGCCCCCGTCGCCGAACCCTCTGATCTCTTGCTCTCTCACAAGCACAGCCCGATCATGAGCCTGAGTGCAACCGCTCAAAGGCTCAAGACGCCGTCGAGTGGCTCGGGCATTGAACCAGAGCATTTTTGATCGACGACATTTGGTGCATTGTCGAACTTCTTAGGTGCCATTCTTGAAGCCCTGGCACGGGTTCAAGCAGATTGTGCTTCACAGGCTGAAGCGGGACAAGGGGAAAGCAGTACTCAGAGGTCGTACGAACGTTGAAAGACCTTGATGCAGCATGCAGGTCATATTTGCAGGCCGGTAGAGAAGGGCTTTTGGCGGTGTGCGGTGTGAGTTCAGGCACTGGATGCTGCCATTCTGGCGGCGACTGCGAAGCCTTCAATGACGCATTCACGCCAAAACAGCAAGTCGTCGGATCCCTAGGTCTGGATGGTTTGTGCACCTGCCGCAGCGTTCCCTCAGTCCATTCTTCCCACCATCTCCAGTGCCCCTCGCGTGCCCAGGTGGTGCGAGTCCTGGTCCCAGGCTTCCACGGCTTCGGAGGAGCCGGAAGACCGGCACGGTCAGCCGGCAAAAACACATACAAAAGGGTACATGCCGAAGGTGCTGCTAGCTGTAGGTTTCGCGTCTTTGCGGGTATGACGCAGGCTGTGTCATTAGCTCATGAAGCATGCCGGGCAGCAAGCTGTGGCTTCCGAAGCCGTATGCTTGCAGAGCACAAAAGACCGCCAGGTGATTTTGAAGACAAGGTGCAGCAGCGAAGATCTCCTGGAGCTGGTTTGTAGTGCTGAGTTTGACACCACCTTGACTATTGCTTCCGTCGTTTGGAATTGTCAGACGAGTCGAGCATGAGAAGCATGGGCTTTTGGAGCTGCTTTAGAAGCCCCGTGCATGAAGGTGTTCAAGTAAACTCCCCTACCCATGTTCATTCAGGAATGAGTGGCCGCTCGCTGGTAGGTGCGCGGGGCTTGTGCATCTTTGCAGGTAAAGCCGAAGCCCCGAGCCCTTCCACGCCGAGGAGCTCCTTAGGATAGGACTCGATGGGACGGACCTTGGGTTAGGGTTTAGGGTTTAGGGTTTACGGTTTAGGGTTTAGGGTTTCGGGTGATGGCCCCTGTTGTGCAGCCAGTGTGGCGAGCCAAAGCCAATCAACCAAATGGACATAGCTTGGCCGTAACAACAGGAGCACACAGCTGTTATGGCGGATTGGGCCCGAACTTTCAACCCGGGCAACCTGCATATGTAGACGCCTCAGAGCAGCCATGCGAGGCCAGGCCAGCCCAGTTCACAGAACTCCTGCAACTTAAAGCATCTGTCGAACAAAGGTCACACCAGCAGCCCGAAGTGTTCCGACTGCCCGGGCTGCGGCCTCAAAGTGCGCACTCTACCAAGTAAGAATGGGCTGCGTGATATCCGGTCAGGTCGCATGTAGGGCCGGGGTGTTGTGCGGCATGGAGTTTTATTGGGATAAGTCGATAAGTCTCAACTGCTACAACACAAGGCCAAGCTGGACTCCTTCAGGCGAGCATTTTGCACCAAACCTGGGCATCGGCTATTTGGGATTCTCAGTCACGAAGGTCCACCAGCGCATGAGCTTGGTCGGAGAATCGGACAGGTGACTTTCTTGAACTCCCTAATTTTATAAGTGTTTGCTGATCTGTTCTGTTGCTTCCACGGATCGTGGACTTCCGGATGGGTTTCAAAGCCGCCACTTTGCGCAGAGCTTGCTGCCGGCTCTTGATACGACTGAAGCATGTCAGTTCCTGTAAATTAAAGCCACCGTGAGATAACCTGATTCGTACAGACTCCCTATGTCGGGTGTACCACCTGTCCACGCAAAGCCCAGGACTGCCTGACTGGCCGACTGATTGACTGTAATCGAATCATGTATCACCGCAAGACCCTAAGTCATTGATTGGTCTTTCTATTCTTCCCCAATGCATGGTGACTCTCTGGGGTTCTTGGATTCCCTGTGGCCACCCTATGCCCGCTGTAGCGAAGCACACATCTTCGGAGTGAATCGCGTTGTTTCCGCAGTCCTTCTCGGGCTTGGCCCCGTCCGCCTGGCACACAGAAGGCATGGCAAAATCGACCGCCTCTTGTGCTCTTTCACTGTTCAGCCTCTGAGAAGAAACACATGTTGTTGTCATTGTTGTTGCAAATACTGTTACTTTTCCAACCTACTACTATTGCTATTACTATTGCTATAACCCGTGTTATTCTTAGCATCATCGCCACAGAAACCTGCGCCAAAAAAGCAAAGCGGTCTTCTAAAACAAAAGTAATCATCATACTAATGATAGTAATAGCGGTAATAATATCAAAATCAATGACATTAATGTGAATGGACTGCTTTCCTGTACATGACCCGGGCTTGACTCACAGACAGGGGTGATTGAGTTCAGGAGCCAAGTGGTCGCCAGAGTGACGGTGTTATTCGCGTAGCTAGGATGCTTCATGTCAGGTGGGTGCCCTCATTCGATGCTCAGTATGTCCTAGGCATCCCCATGATAGGCACAATTATGGTTACCTTCAGGTCGGCGGGCAAAGGCTGCGCATGGGATGATGCGAAGTCGACGAGCTGAGGAGCTTTGCATAGGGCTGAACCATCATTGCCCGCTCGATGCCCCTCGGAAGACCCTTTTGAACGAAGGTGTGCATCCACAAGTGTAGAGGCAGGTTCACACGGACTCACATAGCCTAGTGGTCAGAAACGGCAGATAAAGTCATAAAGTTTGGGGCCACGATGAGTTGTGCCGGAGATGCATCGGACGGGACGGGCAATGATAGTTGCAGCTCTTGTTGCGCAATTGCTCGCTTGCCATTACTTGTAGATTCGCCATTTAATTCAGTTTTTCCTTGCACGGCATCCATGATGAAAGTTAGAAGTCTTGGCAGAAACTCGGTCTGAGACTCAATACCAGACGGCCGCGTTCCATTTTGCTTTTTGAAATTAAGGTAAATAATGCTGCCCCCACTCCTGCCCGGAATTTCGTGCCATTACAGTTGGTGGACATGCGCAGGCCAGTACACAGCCCTACGGACAGGCACTTAAAAGATTTCCTGGCAGGTTTGATTCCCAGTACAGACGGGAGCAGATGCGTTGAGTCGGGCAGCCGATCCTTCCACCATCCCCGAGATACTTTCAAGCCAAAGGTGAAGACATGAAGCCCCAAATGGGGAGTCAGTGTGATCCCGTCGATCCCGTCCAGCTGTGGCAGCATGCATGTGATGAGACTTGCTCATGCCCCGTCACGCTTTTGCCTAGAGCATGCCCAGCCTCGGGTGGAGGGTATTCCGATTGGCAAAAGGGGATCTGGCAGAGAGGCCGCCCGAGGGCACAGGCCACGGGGAGATAGCAAGGAACCTGTGCAGCGCTCAGTGCTTTCATATTCCAGGCCTCCTTGAAGTAATCAGTTAATGGCTTGGGCCAGGGCGATGAACTGACGTGCACATGTTCGCATCTGGAGCTTTGAAAAGGGCAAACACAAGCCCCAGTCCCGCGTGTCTAGAACTGGGAACCTTCGCAGCAGTGCCAGGTCAGTTGCAGAGTTGGTGCTCAATCCGATTTCGATAGCGGCAGCGCTGTTTGGGTGAGACGCCTTTTTGAGGCTCGATCTCAAGCTTGCTGCAGGCTGACTCCTATTTTGTGGCCGGCAATATCTCCTTGGCACGAGAGCTTGCAATGCCTGTGGGGGCATATCTTCTAAGCCCTTTCTGGCCTGCGGGCCACATGTTCGAGACCAAGTCGGTCATGCTGCGCACCCGGTCGGCACTGGGGTGCGGCGACATTTTTCTTGGTCAGCAACCCTGTACATATCTGTCAATACACATGCAGCGCGGAGGATCATTCTTCGCGTAATTCACATTGTCAAAGTTGTCGAGCTCGGCATCCTAGGATGGCAAGATACAGGACAAACTCTTGACACTTGCTCCATCCGGACTCCATCCAACCCTGTCTGCGGAATACGGGAAGCAAGTTGCAGTCAGAGGTGTTTGAAAAACTTGCGCGAGATAAAAACTGTAACCATCCCACCTGTACAGCGCGACTGGGGCCACCAAGGCCGCAGAGTCGCTACAGGCTTTCCATCACCTAGGATACCAGCAAAAGAGGCTGCACGCTGAAGTTGCTACTAGAATCTCACCCCGCGCTCTCTGCATTTCGAGTGTGTGCAAGTCTGCCTCCTCTCACCCTCAAGGACGAGCTGAAAGGATTCGCAGCACTTTTCTGCTGCCATGGCGGTGTCTGCCGGATACAGCCAGGCTTCCAGGCCGGCAGATTAAGCTGGAGTGCATTCTCGTCAGATGCTGTCGTGCGCAAGGCTGGCGTCGGCATTTCATGGCTGCGCTGCAAAGATTGGTCCATCCGCACTTCGGCGTTGAGCTTGCAACTTGTAAACCACCCACTGTCGCAGCACTTGGCGTGATCTCTATTACAGAACTAACGCGTCCGCATGCGTCTGCAATCTCAGACAACGTACGCGTAGTGAGTCATTCCCTTGTTGTGCCGGGAGCGCACAGCAGTGTCAGTTGCAGATTTTGAGGTACTGGATTGCGACTCTTCCATGCTGGCGACAGAGGCTTTTCGGGATTGATTGTGGCAAGAGGTAAAAGTGCAACCAAGACTGCGAACTTCTTCCGATCGAAGGTTCCGCATCAATGTTTGCAGGTTTCCGGGGAGTCCCAGTGTCAACAGGGCAGAGGAAATCGGGAATCTAGATGATCGTCTGGTAGCGGGTCGGTGGCTCACGTTTGCACTCCCCTGAGGCTGGTCGTGCTTTACGAGCCGGTGCCGACTACTTGCACTTGGATGTCATGGATGGTAATTTTGCACCTTGGATGCCAGATCCGCGTCAGCAGTGCGCAAAGGCAAAACTCAGACTCGACAGTTCTACAAACTTTGCCAGCCTGATCTTCGTGTTCTGGAATCGAAACTTCGATTGCAGCACGCATCTGATTTGCATCCTGCGTGGTAGATGGTAGATGGCAGTTGCAAGGTTCCGGCCATCTCTTTCGGACCGAAGGTGATCGCCAACTTGCGCCTGCATCACCCGAAGGTAGGGATTTGGGAACTTCGGCCTGGCTTGGTTGAGCCATTGCAGCTGCGGGCTGCAGCTGCCATACACCCGCGGGGCGAGCTTGAATCCTGCAGTTGCCTGCAGGTCTTCTTTGATTGCCACTTGATGGTCCAGAAGCCGGAGGAGCAAGTAGAGGCCTTCGCCGAGGCCAAAGCCGTCCATCCAGACGCTCGGCTCCGGCGAGACGCGTTGCCGGCGAAACACCAAAATCGCCCAAGCGCCGAAATTGCAGCGTCGACGATGCCAGCTCCTAGACAAGCGTCCCGAAAGTACCCAAGCCCACAACAGCACCTCAATTAGCCTCCGAAAGCGGCCGTGTTTCGAGATTTGGCTGACAGGTCTACGGTATCAGACGGTTACAAGACAAAACTCAACTGAAAGGCTCCAGAGGCCTCGAAGCGTAGAAGTGCCTAGCAGCTGGAAGCGTAAGCATTCTGATAGTCTCTCCGCCCAGGAAACGGGCAAGAACTTGATGCAGTTCATCTTTCACATTGAAGCCACAGAGCCCAGAGGATGTTGAGCCATCTCGAGCCAAAGTGCACGGAAGCCGTTTCGTCGCTGTCCGCTGTGCAGGACTGACACAGACCGTCATCGACCTGGTGAGGAAGCATGGCGTCGCGACCACAATAGCAGTCCTGCCGATTCCATGCGCGCGCAGATGAGTTGGAAGTTAGGAATGCTGGTGGGACTTGCGCTAAGTCCAGCCACGCCGATTGAGCTCCTCAGCTATTGTGGCGTCATGATGCACTCTTTAGACAGGCGACAGCCTGCCAGTGCTTTTCTGTCCAGGCAATTGGAACCTTACCTTCACCAGGCGGCTTCTGACAGTCCGCAGCACTGTAGGCCTGTAGGCACGTTCTCAGCTTCGAAGCTTCAGGTGGACGTGGTGCTTATCCTGACAGTTGTGCCGGGGAAGGGCGGGCAGTCCTTCATGGTAGACATGATGGAGCAACTTGCTTGCAAACTCGCCTAAGGAGCCATCCATGAGCCAACCACCACGGGCTCATGTCATGACTGCAACGGTGCAAGCTTAAGCATCTTAAGTTCGCTTCGCAAGGAAAGTTCGATACGTGCGTTCGAGGTATCCAGACAAGGCGGCTTGGCTCAATCGCAGATGCCTGTTCCACTGAGCACAGAACGCCCGAGTCGTTGGACCTCATATTGTGAGTCCGAGTCCCGAGGAAATTGAGGTGGACGGTGGCGTCAAGGTGCACACTGTAGATGAAGCTGCAAAAGCGGGTGCCAACATGATTGTCTCTGGCACTGGAGTCTACAAGGCCACTGCCGTCACCATGTGGGGCTGAAGAACCGACATGATGTTCCAGTGGCTGCTGTCATGTCAGGTGGACGATATGGCATTAGCAATCGCCACGATGAAAAGAAGTGTGGAGCTCTATGGAAACGGCCTCTCCGAAGAAAAAGTCTCACCCCTAAGATACGACAAAGACATCTTTAGATGACCGGGTCCACCGGGAAAAAAGGGCAGACACAGGGAGATGGCGCTTTGCTCTCATCGCCCGTCTTTCCTGACACAGCGTTCCCAGGATTTTCTGACCTGATCTTCTACCACTCCACATGCTTCCCAGAACCCTTCATGCTTACGCCACCTCCTTCAAGGCTCTTTGCAGTCCCGTCTTCCCTGCCCTTGCGTGGCCTGCTGTTTCCTAATGCCTTGCCTTCCATGCATCTTGTTACTGGCTGTTCAGGGTGACACATGTACGTCAATTTCAATAGGGCAGTGCAGTTAGACTGATGTTTCAGTACCTCGATCACCCCGCAGAAGCATTGTGGCTCGGCTCGGGCAGGATAGCGCGAAATCTCTCGTGGGGGTCCAGCAGTTCGGGAGCATGCGCCGGAGGTGATGACGAGAAGCCTGGACGTTCTGCAGCAGCACGAGCAGCATGGGCCTGGGATAGATGGTGGGTCAGGGTTGGAGGCTTTGCTGCTGCCCCGGGCCGGGGCCGCGGCCGGGGCCCCCACTCGACGACTCCAGAGCCTGAGCTTCCTCTTCACTGAACTTCAGGAACTTCAGCTTGCAAGGGTTCTTCGGGCGCCTTCGAGGGGTGTAAAGGCATCCTTCGAGTTCGTGGATGGCTTGGGTGTCGGTGAGGAAAGCCCCTGGCCGGCCCCGAACTCCGATCCGCCGGAGTCTTTGCAGCGCATCGCCACACTGGCAGCCAAGTGGCTCACACGTTTGGGAGCCAATTCACCGGACTTGTCCCGCTGGGCAGCGGACGGGCTCGACGACGGCGTCAGAGACGCAACTCGCCAGGATGCCACGTCCACATCCCTTCTTCAAACAGGCCAGGGCCGTGCAGGCCCCAGTGGCCACAGCGTGAACGCCGTGGCGACGCACTTCGGGTTGGAAGGCTGGACCTTAAGCAGTCAGTCTTGATCAGGGTAGCTTGGCTTAGAGGCGTTCGATGCAAGTAAGTATAGACAATGATCACAGGCCCCGCTCAGTAAAAGGCCGTCATGCCCAGATGCAGGTGATTCCCACTACGACCCTGCGGCTCACATGAGGAACAACGGTGAGCACGAGGATCATTCAGCGCACCGCAGCGAAGAGGACGGTCGCCACGACCCCGGAGCCCACATGGGGTATGCTGCGGAACACCACGAGCATTCAACACATTCTGGGGAAGAGGGCGAGAGCTACGATCCTGCCGCCCACGTGCGGTACGAAGATGAACACAAGGACCATGCAGACTCTGAGGGCCAACACGACCGCCAGGCAGATGCGGGCGATCACAGCAACCATCACGACCCTGCTGCAAATATGGGGTACGATGAAGGTGACCACGAGAACCATGCAGAACACTCTGGTGAAGAGGGCAAGCACCACGACCATCACGACCCCGCCGCGAACATGGGGTACGATGAGGGTGACCACGAGGACCATACAGAACATAACGGTGAAGAGGGCGAGCACCACGACCATTATGACCCCGCCGCGAACATGGGGTACGATGAAGGTGACCACGAGGACCATACGGAACATACCGGTGAAGAGGGCGAGCACCACGACCATTATGACCCCGCCGCGAACATGGGGTACGATGAGGGGGGCCACGGGGACCATACAGAACACACCGGTGAAGAGGGCGAACACCACGACCATCACGACCCCGCCGCGAACATGGGGTATGACGAGGGTGAGCATGGCGACAATGCAGAACACACCGGGGAAGAGGGCGAGAACTACGACCCCGCGGCACATCTTGGGAAGGAGGGTGAGCACGAGGGGGTTGGGAAAGAAGGTGAGACCGGAGAACACCAAGAAGGCAAGGAGGGTGAGGAGGGGGAGCACCATGAAGGAAAGGAGGGCGAGCATGGGGAGAGCGGTGAAAGAAAGGAGGGCGAGCACGAAGGCAAGGAAAGCGAGAAGACTGAGATGCAGAAGAAAGATGAAGCCTTGAAGGACGCCGCTTCGCCGCACAGATCTCAAAATTTCTTGTGTGTCGTGTGGCTGGAAAAAGTTCCCAGCAATCGAATATATCGCATGAGGCCATGGTGGATCCGGACTCCGGCTGCTCAGTTCCGATCAATCTGTGAGACCTTGTGCAGCCAGCATTGCGAGTTGTCAACTTCTGTCCTGAAGCTGTATCAACGTTGGTTGGGGGGTGTCAGAACATGTCCGAACCGAATATACAGCACATGAGTGCACGCCTATCGCCTCAATCATAGCCCAGGGAACATTATCGACGGCAAGTCCGGGGAGGACCACAGTCTGCAGCCAAAGCTTTAGTGGAAATTCTGCCGGGCATGTCACATGCCAAATCCTACTCACAACCTCAGTCAGCTAGGAGGGTGGGAAAACTAGTCAACAGCTGACTCATGCATCTAGCAGGCGATTTGTCTTCGGTGGGTCACTCAATAAATTGCTCACCGCATGACGTCTCCCCTCCAGGAGATCGATCCCACTACGGGACAGATCGTGGACGACGGCAGCTACATCGACGACAAAACAGGCACGAACCTCGTGCGGCGAATCTCTCTCGACCCACACAGAAACAGTAACATATCTGCAGGCGACCAATAAAACTTCAGCACTGCCCGCTCCAAGCTGTTGCACATGTCCACAGGCAGCCATGTCCCTCTCTCGGCAGGTTTGGCAATAAATCCGGTCAAAGGCCGCGTGGTTGCAGACACGCATTTCCAACATTTCTGCTCATGCCGGCGGCATTGCCGACTGAGCAAGCTGAGGAAAGATGTACGCAGCTTGCCTACCATAAGTGGCAGCGATGAATAGGTGTTGTGAAGACTGGGCAAGCCACAAGACACGAGCTTGGAGAGTTTGCTGCTCACGACATGCCTGGACTCAGGATCCTGTGTCAGGTCAAGGGAATGATTGAGTTGCAGCGGTGTGGTGGTAACTCGTCGCCAAATGTGAGAGGGCCCCAAAGTCCTGGGCTTCTCAGGCGGCTGAGGTTCGTGCACAGGATCCTGAGCTGTGTGAAGCAGAAGCTCTTCGGCGACACCGACTTGGAGGGCCAGGAAGCGACTTTCTTCGCTTCAAGACGTGGCAAGAGGGCCGCGTGCTCGCCGTCTCACCGGTGAAACAAGACTTCTTCGCGGTGGTTCTTGTGCTGACGTTTGGCGAAGACATGTGCCTGCTCGTTGTACGCATATCCGCAGTGCTAGGGCTCAGGGGACTAGGCTCAGGCAGAGGTTGCTTCGAGCTGATGACAGGACGCTCGGACCTGAGGCTGCTGAGGAGCCGTGGCATCCAGCTGCAGAGCCGACCTGGCGTGCGCGAATTCGCGTGAAACGGTTAGCCCGCAGACCTCCTGAGTTTTTGGCTTTCCGAGGGCCTCGAGCGCTGCCGTTTGCGGCGTGTGGGGCCGGGGGCAGGCAATGGCCAAGGCGTGGCAGACGTGACCGCATGCGGCTGTTGTGGGCCATGTGGGCCATGCCTGTCTGGGCCAGGCCTTAGAACCTCCACAGGCAGGACCCACAGCAGAAGCCACTTGCGAAGAAGTCGTTGCCTCACAATTTCGGCAAGGCGGTGCAACCTGGGCTGGTGCTGCCTGCTGCTCAGACTTCAGAGCGGACATCTTTGTGGTTGGTGTGCTTGCAAAATTGTCACCTTTGTCGAGGCATCCGTCCTTCAATGCCTAGCTCTCAGGCTAAGAGTTGTTCGTGGCATCTACGACCTGGAAAGCATTGAGAGTCTTGGGTGCAACAGTCCTTCGACCCGCAGCTGAGAGGAGCCAGAGTCAGAAATGGATGGCATAACTCACTCTTTGGCCTCGTGCATCGGTTTTGTTTCACTTTGGCCCTTTTGCTTGATGCCAACCACTACTTGTCAGAAAGCTAGCAGCTGCGCTTTCCTTCTGCATAGCTGCGTGCCGTCCTCTGCAGCTCCGCGGGCGGTAAAAGCGAAGGCCCGTTAATGCAAAGTCCCCCCTTGCTCGTCGACGGCTACTGTAACCAGGCAGCATGGGCCAATCTCTGGCCTGGGTAGCAAGAGAGTGCTGGGACCGATCTTCCCAGGCCGGAGCAGTTTTGCTTTTAGCTGCTGCACAGCAACGATTCTGCAAGCATAGCCTTGCCAGGGTTGTCGCTGCGAGGCTTGCGATCGTTGGAGACCCAGAGAGTAGAGTGAAGTGCTTTGTAACATATTATCAACTTCTATGGAATAAGCTCTGGAGTCCATTCCTGGTCCATACATTCGCAACTCGAACGAGTCTGTTTGTTCCTTTTGACGAGTCTCCAGGACAAAGGACATGCGGCTACCGTCGGAGAGCGGATGCAGCAAAACGACCCGTCTCTGAGATTTAGCTTCAAGCAAACATTCCCATGATGCATCCAACCCCCTGGCGAGAGAATTGAGTTGAACTCAATCTGACTCTGGAGTGGCTTCGTTACAAAGTCGTGCGATCGCTCCCGTTCGATACCCTTGACGAAAGCAAGCCACGATGGTGCTGAACTTGCTAGGTGCAGCATGCTTGGAGACCTCATCGGAAGCCCGGGGCCTGGATTCTAGATGCTCGGCCACAAGCTTTGGCCTCGTCTAGTGGCCAAGGATCGGGTGCAATGGCTCATGTGCAGCTCGGCTTTTGTATCCACTCATGTGCAGAACCGTCAAGCCCATGGCATAGCGCCTACATTGAAGGGATGTGCGAGCGGCAAATGCTCGACATCAGCTCCAGAGATGAGGATCTGCAGCAGCCTCGGTCCTCAGTAGCGACAGAGCGGTGCGGTTGGTGGAAGGCTGTAAGGCTTTGCGTTGCTTTCTCGCTGTCGTGTCATGGTAATGACGAAGCTTACCATGCTCTTGACATGACTTGCAGAGATTCAGGCAGTCTTGTCGCGACGACATCGCTGAGCTGCTGGACCACTGTCGGCGTCTGGTGAAGATGGCGGAAAACACCCGCGAAGAGGCCTGGAGTTTCCTGGAGACCGATGTCGAAGACGCAAGCATCACTAGGGAACTAAGCCTCTCACCCGACGATTCTTTTGCGTGGTATCCGTATTTCCTGGGCAGCCGGGAGAGGCGATGGTCATTGAACTTCAGGCGAAGGCGGGGGGCTGCCGGTGTTCAACATGCGTGTCTCGTTGCGGTAACGTTGCCTGGTGGCCTGGTGAGTCTCATCGCGCTGCGTGCAACGTGTACTGACAAGTCGCGAGGTCTGTAGACAGGTACATTCCTACGGTAGGAATGACTGCGGCGGACAACTGCCACAACGGTGCGTTTGCAACTCGCCGGTCGTTTGGCGCACCACAGGGACTCAGCGTCTCCTTCAACATGTTCCTTCATGCTGACAACGATGCTGGTTCCTTCAGCTTTTGGGGATCAAGGCTCGTATGAGCGGAAGGCCTTTAGCGGTCAGTGCCGGAGCAGGGTCGCTTAGTTCGTTGGTTTTCACTCTGTTAAGCCAGTACCTGCAGCCTTCCCCAAACTACGAGCAGCCCGGCATCCTCGGCCAACCGATCGCTCTTGAAAGCTCAACGGACTTGCCCCCGGCGTTCTGGGTTGGCCTTCTGGCGGGCGTCCTGATAGGGATCCTCCTCTCCTCCTTGCTCGACCTGCTCTACCTCTTCAAGCAGTACCTCTCGATCGAGCTCCGTAACCGGCTGGCTACTCTAAGTCTCAAGGGCAGCGGCCGTGCATGAGTGCTCAGCTTCGACAACTTGAGGCCGCTTTTGCTCGACTCAGCATCCGCCTGGAAGCTGCAGAAGAACGGATCGAGGAGTTGGAGCGGCAGGTTCGAAGGGACCCTCTCAGCCGAGCGGGGAGTTCTTCTGAGTTCTCTGTAGTCACTGCTACCCCACCGAGGACGGGCAGTCTGCGGCCAGCGAATCCTCCCGCTCAGGAGTACCCCTTACTGGCTTCGGCCCGCAGCTCTACTTCGGCTGCCCCTGTGATCAGTGACCGGGAGAGACAACAGCTGGCGGACGAGATCGGCGATTGGCTTCGGCGAGGGCTCGAGGACCGTGGTGTGGGAAACTCCGGCCGGGAACGCCTTAACCTCCGCTCCCGCATCTACGTGATTGCTCGGGACCACCGCGGGCAGTGCTTCGACCCTGTGCGGGTGTACTCACGCCTTTCAGATCTCAGGTCCCACTTCGGGCCTGGCCAGGACCCGGGAGCATCTGTTTTCATTGGGTTTGCCTCTGCCTGGGAGGCCCGACGTGCTGTCGCCAGAGCCAGCCTGAGCTGGCCAGATGCCCGAAACTGAGGGCGAGGACGAGGGCGCCGACGCCGAGGAGGTCCGGGAGAACCTCATCGTGCGGGGCGGCGAGATCGTCTTCGACTACCCGCTCGGCGTCCTCTCTGTGGGTGAGGCTGGTGACCGCCGCTTCGTGGCTGCGGCGGCTATCGCGGAGAGTGCTGACGGCTCTCTTATAGTCGCCTTCCCGGCGAAGTGCTGGAACCGAGCGGCGGCTAAGCGAGTGATCGGCTTGGACCTCGTTCGAAAGGTCTCCACTGCTCGGGCCAAGTGTGCTGACTCAGGAGACCGCTCAAAGGCTTTGGAGTCCGAGCTCCGAGTGTGCTTGGGCCTCCTCACCGCGGAAGGGGAGGCCGCCTTTGACTTCGTCCGGGACTTCGACGACGAGCTGGAGATTACCCACAGCTTCGGGACCAGCGAACAGCCCGAGCTCCTTCCGCACGCCGAGGCCCTGGGTGAGTTAGCTAAGAGCACTTTTGAGTTTCTCACTGGGGAGAGTGCTGCAGCTGGTGGCTTGGAAGGCGGGAGAGCGCAAAGGGACCAAGGCGTGGAAGATCGCCTCGGCCGTCTGGAGGGATGCTTCCGAAGCATCCAGGAGGACTTGAAGAAGCTTACCGCGGGCCAAAGCCCCCCGTCTGCCAAGGCTCCCTCGGAACCAAA